TGTCTAAGGTAAATTAATTGTCTCATCTTTAGAATAGATCTGACACATTTCAAATACTGAGTCCCACACACTTTCTTCTTTTAATGCCTTCTTCTTCAAAGATTGTTATCCAATAATGCTGTATGTTCTTTTGATGTTTCTCTCCAAGCCATTGCCTTTCTGTCAAAACACAAACATGTTTTTTTCAGCAAGGATGTGTGTTGTTTCTTTCTCCCACACATGTTCTACGTTTTTCTTGAATTTTTCCTTGCATAATTAAGTGTAGTTGGTGTTTCTTGTTGGATAGCATGTGTCATAAGCATTCTAATTTCCTTTTCTTGTTGGTATTCACAAGTATATTCTTTCTCTCATTTCATAGATGTTTGACTCATATTTTAAGTATTCTGTAAATCTGCATTTCAAAGGCATCTATACTACTAATTGTCATTTGAGTCATTATTCATCTTCCATTCCATATAGAAGAATTTGCCATACATGACAACAACTTCTGACTAGCGAAGCTCCAGTTCCAGAGCAAACAAGTTTACTCATTCTTGAAAAGCTACTCTCACTTGTTCATCCTGCTCTTTCTGTCCCTGCTACAATCCCATCTATCATTCAATATGCAGCCCAGATATATATATCGTCGTATCTTTTGCACTTGTCTTCCTGGAGGCATATTTGCTAACAGAACAGTGTTATTAGTGTAACATAATTATTTATTATTACACCATAGATGTTTATACTTTCTTGGCATTTTTCTAAAAATTTCTTTGAAAATAACTCCAGAATATATATTAAATAAAAGGAGAGATGATACATAGCCTAATGGACAGAAAGTATCTCCTTTCCAATCTCCTATTCCCCCAAATAATCAAAATCCTACCAAAATAAATGCTTTTCTGATGCAATATTGCAATATTGCCCTGCAAACTGAAGTTCCTCTCTCCCAAATAAACAGTAATATGGCCCTGTGTGTGTGTGTGTGTGTGTGTGTGTGTATGTGTGTGTAAATGTCCATCTCTGTATATGTTCTTTGCCAAGGATTTCTCTTAGATTCTGGAAAAGTGGCTGTCCCAGTGATATCCAACAGATACCATATGGATTTTAGAAATCACTTTTAGAAATTAGCACAAATTATAGAAATCTTCAATATGTCTCATTGATTTATTGTACTGAAGATTGGAAGTCTCTTGGAGACATGCAGTTAGCAAGCTATGCTAAAAAAAAAAGCAGGCTGGCACTGCCTCCAAGTGGCAAGAAAAAACATCTAAAGGGAACCGCCAATCTTTGAGTCCCATTATTTTACAGCTGTTCCCATCAGTTGCTATTATTCATGCATCTCTTCCACTGTCCCTAAGCATTGATCATCTTTCCATATTCGAAATGCAAAGGTTATACCTATCACGTGACAATGCCTTCGTATACCATGTGACAACATGAGCACCAAAAAAAAAAAGGCAGGGTATTCGAATATTTGACACCTTATTTCTGAAAATAATAAAGGCAGGGTAGAAATAAATACATGAATTGAAACCAAAAGGGACCAACAAACAACTGTGAAAGACTGCTGTACATTAAGTTGGTTTGATCATATAATGAAAATGGAAAGAAAAATGAAAGCAAAGAAGACGGAAGGTGGTATATGGAGGTGGTAAGATCATCAAAAAGATGTTTACAGAGATGAAATGAAAGATAAGGACGAGATAGAGCACAATAAAATATGGGATAAATTTTATCAACAGTGGGGAAAAAAGGATCTAAAATCAAAAGAGAATAGGGATGGCAGAATGGATGACTAAAACTGGGAAATACCATAGGAATGTATAGCTGTATAAATGTATTTATAAAGTATTATTTTATGCCATAATAGACACAATAAACAACTAAACACAAGTTTTTCCCCAAATGTGCTAAACAAATAATTCCAACATTGTCCAACTATTTATAATCTGCACTACTGTTACTATTAATCTTCCCATCACTCCTTATCACCCTCCCCTCCTACTTGTGACTAACTTTGTCGCTTGTATCCTTACGATTTATACTGTTTCCTAGTATGATTTGATTGCTTATTGTACCCTATGACTATTATTAAGTGTACCTGATGATTCTTGACTCTTGAATCTTTTATGCGCACTAGAGCATTTGCACCAAGACAAATTCCTTGTGTGTCCAATCACACTTGGCCAATAAAGAATTCTGTTCTGTTCTGTTCTATTCTATTTTATTCTGTATGTGTGACAGCAAGAATTGTCGGGATGATTATACCATGTCCAATGTTTTTAATAATTTACTTAATAAATTTTTGTTTAAAAAATATTTAGAGGAAAAAACAGTGTATGGAAATGGTGAAGGTGAGGATTTGCAGATAGAAAAATAAGGAGAGGGATAGTGTTTTTCATTTGATGTGTATCCCATCTTTATCATTTTTACAAATACCTCACAGTGACAAACATATCCAACATGCCTTCCTCCTCCTCCTATTTTCCCCACAATAACCTTGGGAGGTGGGTTGGGCTCAGAGTCACCTAAATGGCTTTCATGGCTAAAGCAGAACTTTCTCTCACTTTCTAGCCTGGTGCCTTAATCACCAGACCAAACTTATATCGGACATTCAATTTTGGGGGGTTACTGTTCTTACTCTATTTTATAATGTTGCTGATTCCCAAAATAATTTGAAGAGTGGGTGTAAATGTATAAATGTAGAAGAGAAAGACTCGTGGCTTTGAGGCTTGGTCACTCATATCCTCTTCCTATTGTTCAGTGGCTTCTTCATGATACAATGAACATCATTTTTCCAGATTGTCAATAGCTGCTTCCCTGAGGCTTTAAGCTCACACTTGTTTGTCTCCACCAGTGATGACATTAGGCATCTTGTCTCCTGTCAATCGTCTTCAGTTTTTCAAACCACTGGAGCCTTCTGCAGTGATTTGGGCCTTCGTGTCCAAGGTAGCTAATCTTTTGCTTCGTTATTGTTTCCAGCGAGCAGTCAGATTCTGATCTAATCTAAAATAACATTTTAGTTGGATATTCCACATAATATTTGGAAGGGGGGATAAGAAAAAAAAGCAATTACAAATATTTCATTAGTATATGCCAAGTAGCCAATTATCTTATATTTTATTGTCTGTGGAAAGTTATCACTATATATTAAAAAAAGAAAACGTCTGGCTGTTGAATAACGTGCTAGTGAGCAAATTTCAATGAACAAACGAGATAAAGACACACGAAATGGAGGGCAAAAAAATATTTTAATTTCATGTAATGCAAATTACATTGCCTTTAATATTATTGTTCCCAATACATTTACTTTTTTCTTCTTTCATACCAAATATTACAGTCCAATAGCAACTTAGGATTCTGGAGTCATACTTAAAGCTTTCAGAGACTGTGCACAGCACTAACAAGACGTTTTACACCCATGTTTTAAGATATAGGCAAGCAAACTGTAACTCATAAACCTCAGGCCTAGAGTAATGCTCATCATGGAAAATGTTATCTTCTTGTATTATTTATCTATTTATTTACCAGGTTTTTAACCCACCTTTATTATTTTATAACAGGGGTGTCAAACTCATGTCGTCACAGTGGCATCACATGACATATTGGGACTTCCCCCCCTTTGCTAAAATGGGCGTGGACGTGACCAGCGCATGATGCATCCAGCCCGCAGGCCAGGAGTTTGACAGCCCTACTTTATAAGTAATTCAAGGCAGTGAACATACCTCATTCTTCTTCCTCCTCCTCTTTTCCACAAGACGTCCCCTGTGATGACCATCATGCCACACAAATGGCAGCAGACAACCTGCAATCTGATCTCTGTCAGCCTGCTGGGGTCCTGTTGAAAATGTTGGTGTCCTGCTGCTCAGAGCAACAAGAAACTAATGATCCACAGTGGGCTGCCAGGGGTAGAACGGGAAAGGTATACATGGAACTCTAACAAGAATCAGCATATGGACAAATGATCCCCGTCAGAAGGTCTCCTGACATAATGTCCCGGGCAAGAGTTGAAGGGGAAAGAGGTTTGGTATGCCAAGGCCCCAGTGAATTGGGAGTTGATCCTGAATCTGACCAATTTTTGCTGTTTATACAGGTCTATTACACGCTTAGTTGCTCTATAGACAGACCAATTTTATTTTTTAAAAAACAAATTTTATTAATTTTACAATTAAAAACAAACCAACAACACATACACGAATAGAAAAAAAAATGAGAAAAGAGCAAAGAAAAGAGAAAGAAAAGCAAAAAGAAAGAAGAAAGAAAAATAAAAAATAAAAAATGAACACTTAAAGTGTTCTCATTTTTGACAGTTTGTAAGATCTTTTCTCTTCTTATTTCATACCATATACGCACATCTTATCCATATATGTTTATATTTACACTCATGTAAGTTTGTCTCACTCTTTTTTACCTTATGTTATAAGGTCTATCTTTGATCTAACTATTTATACCAACAATTCCAATTGTTATAATATATTGAAGAATCTTTGTTTTTTAGGGCTAAGGTTAGTTTGTCCATTTCTGCAGTCTGAGATTTTTTGGATGATCATCTGTTCTGTAGGTATGTGAGGCAGTTTCCAACACCGAGCAAACGCTAGCCTGGCCACTGTTAATATATGTATTATTATATACTTCACTTTTTTAGGTAACTGTTTGTCAAAAATCCCTAACAGGAAGGACTCTGGTTTATACTCAGTCTGTTCTTTTGTTATATCTTCTAGCCACTTTCTAATTCTTTGCCAGTATTTCTGAGTTTCTTTACAGGACCACCACATATGAAAAAAGGTTCCATCTATACTTTTACATTTCCAACATTTCGGGCTCGTGTTGGGGTGCATCTTCGCTAATCTCGAAGGAGGAAGGTGCCATCTGTAAAACATTTTATAAGCGTTTTCTTTATAAGCTGCCGATTTGGTGATCTTATTGTTTCTACTCCACATCTTTTCCCATTCTGTTAATGTAATACTCCATCCAACGTTCGTACTCCAAGCTATCATATTCCCTTTGACTCGACAGACCAATTTTAATGGCTCAGTATGTTGACTGAACCCAAGCCATTTGGTTAATTTACAGTTCAGTGCATTAAAAAAAATAAGTTGATTCAGAAATGTTCTTGTGCTTCCTTATGCAAAAATATGGCCAAGTGAGGAAAAGGCTGTTTAAAAATTTAACTAACATGGATATCTTGAATCAAAAATACTACTACATATTCCATGAAAGATAGAAAAAAAATCTTACCTGTCTTTCATGGAATATGTAGTTCTCCTCTCAGAGAAAATCCTACAAATTGAGACCAGGCAGGCTAGAACACATCATCTACTACAGAAAGACAAAAAACTTTTAACAGCAAAAGCCAGAGCACAGATTTCTGATGCTATGACCAAATTTATTAAAAACAGCTAAGAGAAATCAGAAACATTTGGGAATTACTGTCACCTCTTAAGTCCTTCAGGAACCCCCCCCCCCTTTCTTCATATCTAGCTCAAAGCTAGAAAAATGAAGCCACAAATAGGCAGCCCCTGAGTCCTTAATAAAAATCCGATCCATGTAGAAATCATTCTCCATATCTATAGAATTGTCCATATGGCAGCATCTACAAGAAAAGGAAGCTGGAAAGACATAATATTTGAGGAACTATATATTTTTAGGTCTTTATGGCTGTATCCCGAGATTTGTAGACCACTCCACGGCTCTTCAATTCCCTTACGATGCCTGCAAAAAACAAAAATATCTATTAATTTAATGGACTAGGATGAAGTACAGCTAAACCTTGCTTACCACCCACTGGCTCAGTGACCATTCAAAATTACAATGGTGCTAAAAAAGGAGACCCATGATTGGTCCTTGAAGCTGCGGCGTTCACAGTATCCTTGGCTCAACAGTAAACAGGGAACAAATTTCTATTGCAATTGTTGGATTTTTAGAAATGAGAAAAGATCTCCAAATCCTAGTCCTCCTGAAGAGGATCCTGTAGATCAGAGGTCCCCAACCATCGGGCCCGTGGCCTGTTTGGAACCCGGCTGTGGCCCATTTGGAACCGGGCTGCATCAATAGCAGTCCAGCGCATGTGCATGGGCAGTTTGACTTGTGCAAACAGTAGGCTGGTGCTTGCACATGCTGCTCAACTTGCACAAGTAGTGGGCAGGCACACACTTGGACGCAGCTCAACTTGCATTGAGTGGTGGGCCAGTGCACACCCATGCACACCTGCCAGCCCACAGCTTGCACAGCCCAGTTCCCCTCTCCGCCCCTAGGCTGCCAAGCCATACAGGTTGGGGATCGCTGCTATAGATTACCTTGGGGCAGACGGCCAGTCACTGACACAGCATACACGCCTGGCTTGAAATTACCTAAGAAAACAGAAACAAATGTGAATTATGACCGCTGAGGATTGCAGTGCGAAATAATACTTTTATTTGTTTGTATCCCTCCTTTATTATTTTTACAAATAATTCAAGGCAGATAATATATCCAACACATCTTCCTCCTCCTGTTTTCCCCACAACAACCCTGGGAGGTAGGTTGGGTTATGAGAGTGTGATTGGCCCAAAGTCACCCAGCTGGCTTTTATGGTTACAGCAGGATTTGAACTCAGGATCTTCTCTTAATAATATGGCTTAAATAATATAACTTTCAGGAAGGATGTCCATATCGTGCGCTCACTTTTTCAGTCTAAGTTACTTTAATCAGTTGTCAGAAAGTTTTTTAAAATATTTTTTGTGTTGTTGTAAAATGCACTGTATTATTTTGATACTTGTAGAGCACAGTATTGACTGAAGATAATTAACACTCTAATGTTTACATAAATGTAGACAACTGAGGATAAAAAAATATATACCAATACTGATTACAAACTGAAATATCAATATTAATGAACATAAAATTATTTGCCTATTTCATTCGGAATTGATTATTAACATTTAAAAACTGCTTCAAAATGTTCAAAGTATTTGCTGAACAGTAAAACAGAACAAATTGTGGTCGTAAGCTGTTCAGTTAGCATTAAGGTTACCACTGTGTTGTTACTTAATGTTTTGGTGCATGTTGATAAGGAAAAAAGTAAAGCAAGCTTGAAAATGACAGAAATACCAGAATGTTAAAAACGAGACTATTCAATTTCTAACTTACTCCTTTTTGTGCATCTGCTAATTAGCATATTTATAAACAATTGGCATTCTTAAAAGTCACATTACAAATGCTTATATTTACCATGCTGCATGATATGTGGGGAAACCATTTTCACTCAAATTTGGTTAAACTTCTACTGTGTATACATAGTTAATTTTGCTATTGCTGTAGTTTAAGTTCCCAATTACCATAGCTATTATTGGAATTATATTTTTCTTCAAGTATTGAGCAATATTTATTCTTGCTGTTGTGAGCATGTCATTAAATTACATTCCTTGTACAGAGTTAAATGTTAAATAAAGCCATAAAAAAGTTCAAAATTGAACAAGGGTGTTAACCTTCAGATTTAATGTTGAATTTAAAAACATTTCAGGATTGTTTCAGGTGTAAATACAATTCAGAGACTGAAAGTAATTATATCAATTAACTAGTATCTGAATCATCCTGAGGTCCCCAGAACAAATACACGTGCAAATAATGTGTCTACTATCTCTTTTTCAAATAATTTCATCACTATATTTCCCAATGGATATTTAAGCTTCAAATGTTCAATTAAAACTTTTGAGCTGATAGCGCCAAGTTCAAAGAAATCAATTTGAATAACACTAGAAATGTCCCTTCAAAAATGTAACTATGAATCTCCCCAGGTTTGAATTTTTTTTCTCACAGCTGGAGCATATACCATGAGCTGATGCTTCACTCCTGGGCCATAATGATGCTTTGTTAACTGTTACGTTGTTGTAAAGAAATTCTTACAAGACAAAATTGCTAGCAAATTTCAGCTCCTGAAGTTTTCGTCTCTGCTGTCAGCATGGGAGGAACCCCTCTTGCAGAAAGCTTCTAACACTGAAAAACATCAGTAAGGTGACCTACATGTTCCTGTAGACAGAAATTTCCCTTTCAGTAATCTACTACTTGTCTTTAATTTATTCATCAATTTTCTCATTTGTTTAATACAACTTAATTATATAATTAAATATAAGGTAGATGAAAACTTACTGATCCGTTGCCATTTGGAGACCCAGCTGTCCTCGGGACTCATCATTGCAATAATGCTGCAAGAAGACAAGAAAAGTCAAACAACTGAAAAAAGTCACTAAAAAGTAAAAAGAAAGAAATCTGCTTAGCCAAACCAGTAATAAGATATCAATCCCTCTGGGAAATATGAAGTCAGTTCAAAATTTGCAAAATAAAAATGGGGGAAGGACAACAAAAGATGGAATTTGAGGCACTGTAAGAACTAGAATGGAGGTCTGGAAGGGTGAATGGAAGTGACAGGGTGACAAGAAAACGAGACAAGAGTAAGCAGAAGATCCTGGATGCTGGATCAGGACCTCTGACCAATTGCCAATCCTAAGATACTTCTTAGTTAACTGAGGAGCTACCGGAAGGAAAACTCCCAAACAAAGCAGACGCAACTGTGTATTGCAGTAAGAGTTCACAACTGAATTTACAATGAGACTATTGAAGCGACAATTATTCTCTGTACCTATTGTATCTACAAATTCTTGCAAAGCAGACATGTTAAAAATTATGTGGAAGCCTTTTAGAGAAAAAAATGGGTGCAACTGAACACCTGCAGAGATGCAGGATGAGTGAACCAACCAAATATCCAGGTTTCATGGCAAACAACATCTCTTGTATCTGCTGTCTACTGTAATAAGCAAAGTAATGTTTTCTGCTGTAATCTGGAATTCTTTTGATCTTACGGAGTGATGGTTGAGTCTTCTGTAGTAGTCTGAACTCTGTCACCTGTCTGTCCTTTTGGATTCCTCGCATAGCTAGACAGGGCATAATAGCTGGCTCCCTGAGAAAATCAATGGTTCTCTGACAAAGCAGGTAGTAATACATGCTTTAAAAGAAGTGGTGGGTGCAGTTTCCTACTTTCTCTTCCCAGTAAAGATTACAAGGAGGTATTAAGGAAGCAGCTACAAAAGATTCTGGACAAAATCAATTATTTGGAAACCCTCCTTTACGCCTAGATATCCAGATTATATGCTCTTTCCTGGATTTTTGGAGAACTACAAAATATGGTCTTCCAAAAGGTATATGAGGATGTGTAAAATGGTAGTTTGGTTTACAGTAATACCGCAGTACTCGACTGCTTCAAAGCTTGTCAAATTTGATACTTGGTGCATTTTGACATGAAAATGGTGTCCCAGTAGTCATTGGTTGATGTGCAGTAGTCATTGGTACTAGATGTGCTGCAACAGGAAAAAGGGATGGTCATGGAGAATGGACAGGAAGTCAGCATAGGAAACAGGGTCATGTGGAAAGTCATATGGTTTGTTTGACACGCGTCATTTTTAGTACTCGTCCTGCCTTGAGGAACCAATTAATGATGAGTGCTGAGGTACCACTTGTAGTTATTAAGGCATCAGGCTAGAAACAGGAGACCGAGATTTCTAGTCTCACTCTAAGCATAAAGCCAGCTGGGTGGCCTTGGGTTAGTCACTTTGTCTCAGTCCTAGAAAGAGGCAATACCAAACTATTTCTGCATACCTTTGCAAGAAAAGTGCAGGGATGTATCCAGGAAGCCTCAGACACAATTGAATGGAAGAAAAAGAAATGGGAGTGCATTGGACTGACTGCTTATACTTATCTGGACTGATGCTTACTCAGTTTTTACTGTAAATGGCTCAGTCTCCAGGAATTATTGTTTTGCAAAAAGAGCCATCTGGTTTATTTTTTTAGGGTTTTATTCTTTTGTTATTTTACTGTACTGCTGCATTTTTTTTTAATTTTATGCTGATTTTACTGCTAGTATTAATATTTAAAGTATTTTTGTTTATTGTGTGAACTGCCAGAAATTGATTGCAGTGGGTTTTAATGAAATAAATAAATGTAACATTTAAGTTATACATCTTATCAAGGATTTGCTTTCTTATTGGTAACATCATGCTCCATAATGGTTGTATTAATTCAAAATCTATGTAAATAACTGCCTCTATTTAATTCTCATGAATCCAGTCACACTTTTCCTGTAGGCCAAGAGTGGATAACTTACAAACCACAGACATCATCACTCTTTTTAAGGTCTGAACCCCCTTCCTTCCGAGAAGATCATGCTTCTGAAATCTGGTGACAAACTGCCAGTGCTGTATCATTTTTTGAATTCTTACTTTTCCCAACTAAGAAGGTGTCTAATAATATACTGTTCATTTACCGACCGGCAATTGGGACCAACAACTTGGTAGTTAAATGAAGCAGTCGCTAAGTGAAACTACAACTTTGCTGAACATCTTTCTTTATCTTTCCTTACCTCTGCAGACCTGCAAAGGTCATAAGGAGGATGAGGATGGTTGCAAAGTTCCTTTTTCATCACCATTGTTAACTGTAAGGCAGTTGCTAAATGAAGACTCTCTGTTATAATAATACACAAAACACTAAATGTGAAAGATTAACTATCCCACTGAGGACTCTGCACAATTGCAAATTCAGTCACTAAATGAAGAGTATTTATTTTGCATTTGAGTTTGATTGCTAAAAACTATAGTCGAAATATAGCTTGGGGAACAGCAATTCTGCATTTCCTAGCTGCTGTATTTAAGTCACAACTAATTTAAAATTATACAAAAAGATTCAAGGGGTATTATGTTTGCAAAGGTATAGCCAGCAACAAGATGAATAACTTGCAGAATATTACTGGCACATAATCTAAAATCATTTATTTAGTAACCTTCCATTGCTGGAGAATTAAACAATACCCTGTTTAATTTTGCCTAGTAAAGACTAGATGTGTGCATCTTTTTAGCAGTCAGGGGTTTTAAATTTTGTTAAGGTGGCTGACAGCTATGAAATGGGTGGACCAGACCATGCAAATTGAAAAAACTTGGTTTCTGAGTACTTATCTTTTACATTATTACAACATCAGGTTGGAAGATCGGTAAACAAGCTTTGAAAAAATATATCAGTTGTGTATTTTTTTGAAAAGGAAAAGTTCTGCTAAAGATTATTATCTCACCAATTTATCAAATGATAATTATAACTAGTAACAGCAAAAGAATGCTGGATTTCAGTATATATCTCACTCTCAAGACTTACCTGAAAACAACCCTGACCGTTATGTGGGGAACTGACACAAGGCTACTTACCCATCGAAAGAAGAACTGGTACAATCATAAACCATCTCACGGTTCCCCTTCATCTGGAGATAGGAGTCACAGTTGTCACAACCATCAAACTCAAACTGGTCAATAGTCTGATGAAGAAGAAAAAAGTTATAACAGAAAAATCAGAAGTACTGTTACTAAAGGGCGAGCAAACTTAAATTGGGAGCATCTCCTAAGGTTCCAAAGAATCTTTTTTTTTTTTTACAATTCTTAGCTCAATAATCAAAAATACATTTGCTGCAATTAATTGCAAAAATTGCTTTCCACAAATAAACTTCATATTTATATTAAAAGCATACCTCCCAACTTCTCCTTACATTTAAATCTTCAGCATGCTTTTCCTTTGCACCCCCTTCCTGTTTTATAACTAAGTCAACAATACAATAAGTTGCCACACAGATTTTTTCAGTACAGTTGTTACATTCGTTTCCTAACTTTCCTCTCAGATACTAATAAACAACTTCCTCCCATTTTCATTTTGAATAAACACAGTTGTTGGGAGAGACTAAAAATAATGATTAGTCAATTAGTACAACAAATAAGTAAAAATCTGAAGTCAAAGCTTTGCAAAAGTCATTGCAAAAATTTAGGGCTTTTTAAATTAAAAGAGAAAAAGATTTACTATTATAGTGGGCACATATTAAAATGGCTTTTAAAATGAAACATGATACAAAGAAATTGAAGTTGTTTCCTTCTTCATGTTTAATACTGAGACTTAAGCCATGCACTGAAGTTTGAGATGGACAAGAGTAAATACAACTTATAAGGATAAAAACAGCTCATGAAGGATGTATAACAACGTTCTTAACCATGGTGGTTCTATGAAACCTCAAAAGCAAATTATGTCTGAATAGTAGTATTTCAAGTATGTCTACCACTCTTTAACATGTGGTTTATTAGATTTACATGTGTCATTCAATTAGGTAGCAGCACTTAATCAACATTAGCTTGAATTGGAAAAAGCTGAATTGGTTAACACTTGGCTGGGAGACCACCAAGAAACTCCAGCATTATAGGCTAGTTTATTTTTTTTCTATAAAAAGGCAATGGCAAACCATTTCTACATTGTTGCTAAGAAAAGTTTAACACGGTGGGAGTTACCTTTATCTATTCAGATCTATGTTCAAATTGGTTGAACAAACTATGCCTTCAACATAAATAATTGCTGTATAGAACATTTATTAGAGGAAGGCTTTATGAAGGCTCCCAAACACAAATGTGGCTTGTTCGGTGGAACTCAGGGTGTTTTTTAAAACCATTTCAGCTTACAATCCAATTTGTTACATATATTATCCCAAATGACAAATATCAGTAAAAACACAATTACACATATCTGCAAGTAACAAAGAGCAACCAGGGTAAAGCAATTACAAAGCTAAACACATTCAACAGTATTAAAAGTAAGCAAGCTAAAATTCTAGGAAATAATTTTAGAAAGCATTTACTGAATGGGAGAAAGGGAAGAAGAAAAAAAGAGAACTCCTGTTTGTCAACCTGTCTGAGAAACAAGGTCTGAAGTGTGGGAAGACTGCCATATATGCCCAGAAATTGCTGGAACTACCTCAGACACGTTATAGGAAGACAAAAAGACTCTAAGGAGGGATGGAAGGCAAGAGAAGAGGAAGACCAACAGCAAGGTGGATGGAGTCAGTAACAGTGGCGATGGGTGTGCCATTTAATGACCAGATTTGGGACAGATCATCATGGAGAAAATCTGGGTTGTCAAAAACCACTTGATGTCACATAATAGACTGCTGGGACGGAGAGAAAAGGAACAAGAAATTCCTGGTCTGTTGGGTGGGACTGTCACCGACTATGTCACGCCAGGGACAGCCTCCTTCTCACAATCGGATTATTTCAAGAGACAACACCATAGAGACAAACAAAATGTTGGACTAGGACAGGGGTCTCCAATCTTGGCAACTTTAACCCTGGAGGACTTCAACTCCCAGAATTCCCCAGCCAGCAAAGCTGGCTGGGGAATTTTGGGAGTTGAAGTCCTCCAGGCTTAAGGTTGCCATGGTTGGAGAGACCTGGACTAGGAAACCCGTCCCCGACACCACAACCATTGGACGCAGTACCATTCCAACTAGGATAAAAAAAGAGAGAGGAATTCCCGCTTCGCTAAACGGAAGGCACACCTTGACCAATGAGCACAGCAAGCAAGCCCTCAAGTGCCGCAGATCCTTAGGTACCGTTTCCAACGCCATGATCACCACCAACCGGCAGCATACACCTAAGGGAAGAAAGCAGACCTCCAAACACACGTCACTTCCCTCGCCGAAAGGCTTTCCACTATAGTACTCTGTGCCGCTCTGGGAGTCCCCTCGTTGCGTCCCTGAGAGGCGCATGCGTACAACTGTCTGCAATGAACTGGCGTCATTCAGCAATGGCGCGTTGCCTGATTCGATGCTGTTTGTACGCAAGCGCCTAATTGCGCAGAAACTCCGCCTCTTAGAAACCGAGCGATGGTTTTAGAGATTGTAGTCACGCGAGGTTTGGAGAAGGAAAAGATCTTGGCGCCAAAATCGAACCTTTCCCCTTACAGTTATTTACGGAATAGTCTAATTCTTTTTGCCTCTGGCGAGTGTACCCATGGATTGAATTGTTCTGAAATGGTATAGGACAGGTTCTCCTGCTTGAGCAGGGGGTAGACTAGAAGACCTCCAAGGTCCCTTCCAGCTCTATTCTATTCTAAATATTTTACTAATTCTATTTCGTGTGTCACTTAAATGATTCGAAATTAACTTTGGTATTAGGTAACCCGTTTTTTCCCCCAAAAGATATGCGATTCTGAAAAATATTTGATGGCAATTAGTGCCATAGGGTTGGACTCGAAGACTTTAAAGGTCTCTTTCATCCCTATCATTCTCACTTTGGGAGGCTTACCATCTTGGACAATGGTTGTTCAAGTCCTTTCTTTAAAACCTCCAGGGATGGAGCACCCATAACTCCAGGAAGCAAGCTGTCCCATTGCTTACTATCAGAACTGTCCTTATTTCCACATTGGACCTTGCTCTGACAAGCTTCTACCCAAATGCTTCTTGTCCTACCTTTAGGTGCTATGGACTATGGAGAATAAATCGGTGCCCTCTCCCTGTGGCAGCCTTTCAAATATTGGATGTGGAGCAGTTAGCATGTCTTCTCTTGTACCATGAGTACAGAGCTGTTTTCACATTAGAAATTGTGTCCTTCATTCCTTGCAACATACACCATTAACTTTTGCAGCATTTGCACATCATTTTTTCCCATCCTTAATAAGCACTTTGCTGTAATTTTTTGCTTTTTATATGTGGCTTACAGTTGCATTTCTTTCAATCATCATCGCTCAGGGTAACATCCTCTGGGATTTATAAAATTGCACAGGTTGCAATAGAACCATAGCACAAAGTATATGCTGTATGTGCATGTTGAATTTATCTATTACAATTACTTCACAAGTGGTTTCATTGGAATGCATATATTGAAATATCCATGATCCAATAGAATTCAAAAATCATAAAGTAGGACATTTTAAAAATGTCAAATCTCAAATGTCCTCTGGAAAAGTCTGTCTTCCAGAAAACAGCTAAACTCAGGCTAAAATAACTTCAAGTGAGAGGCCATTCCAGAGAACTGGAACTAATATAGAAAAGAGACATCTTCTGTGCTTCAATATCCCTACCTCCCCAAAGTGGCAAACCATCACTTGTTTTTCATGATAAGATCAAATAGGTTTGACCAATTCTATTGGATGATTGCAGTTGTGAAGAAAAGTTTGTGCCAAGTTGTAAGAGTTTTAAGATCATAGAATAACCCAAAGCACATTGAAAGAAGTTCTGGTAGAAAGAAGTTCCCTGAGGATGGGCTCCAGCATGAGTCCAAAAGCTCTGATCCCAGTGACTGCCCCAGATAAAAGTGTTGCATAAAAGTGATGATTAACACCAGCATTCCAAAGTCTCCATGAAGCCAGTCCAGGGCTCATAGCACAAGAGTAATGGGCTCCCATTGATGAACATACACAGGCCAATGCAGTTTGGACCAATGTGGCTTTAAAGGCATCCCCTTTGTAGAGTGCATTTCAGTAATAGTTGATGATGAAGGCATGAGTAACTAGCAAAACCCTCTCATGATACATAGGGCCAACTAGTGAATTATGTGCAACACTGTAAAGGCTCTCACCATACCTCCCATCTGCTGTTGAAGAAGGAGCAGCAACTCCAAATCGTGGTGTCAGCCTTTGGGGTAGTGTTTCTCCACCACGAGACAACGTTGGAGCCATCCAGGCATCCTAATGTACAAATAGTAAACATTGTCCTGATGGATTTTGTCTCATCCAGACCTTCAGCCTTTAGACTAGACACCAAGTCAAGACTTCAGTAGCCTAGCCAGTTTAGCTCAGGATAGACATGTAAAGCTGAATATTATGAACAGATAGATGATACTGCATCCTGAACTGATGTCTCAAAGGTGCTTTTTCAAAAGACAACTGGACTTTGTTTTTCCTTGAAGACGTTTCGTTTCTCATCCAAGATAATCATCCAGTGAAGCTTCTTGGATGAGAAATGAAACATCTTCAAGAAAAAAAACAAAGAAAGTCCAGTTGCCTTTTGAAAAAACACCTTTGAGACAACCATGACCTGGATGACTGAGAATCTCCAGAGATCTTGAGCTGATGGATAACCTCACTCGGTTGTTTCATAAGTAGAATGGAGAGAACCAACCTATGCAGTATACCTGAAGGCAACAGCCACTCAGCCAACCACTCTTCTACTACTACCATCTAGAACTCTGAGGAAGAAGCCATTCCAAAATAGTGTCCCCAATCCCAAACTCTTGAGAATCAATCCAGAGTATAATAATCAATGCTATTGGAAACTATAAGAAGTCTAAAAGGATTATGAGAAGTGATATCAATGAAGATCATCTGCTAGCAAGACTAAACTTTCTCTTGTCCCATGTCCAGGGCGGAATCCTGACTTAGAAGGCCCAGATAATCAATTTGTCCAATCTGAAGCTGACCTGCCTTAGAATTCTTTTTGCTAGGGATGTACTGTATTACTTGGAACCTTGACACCATTTCATCTACCGTATGGCATTATAGTATATGGTACATGCTATTTGTCCCCTTTTTTGAAAATAAGTTGCCTGTTTTTGCTCTGCAGGAATGGTTTGTCCCAAGTCCTTTTATGAGTGCAATAAAGAGGACTGGTCTTCATATTTTCACCAATGAATTTTAAGACTATGCTTGTTGATTTTTTTAATGATTACTTTTCTTGAGTTTTTTTTAATAAAGGGATAAGTTGTCCACAGAAATACAGTACTAGTTCTGACCTCCTTTACTACACTGTCTGCCACATATGCAGGAAATCTTTCTTAAATGATCTAATTGCTAGATTCCAGCACTGAGCAAATATCTGGATTACCACAGCTTTAATATTCAATGGCTCTATAATTCTCCTCATTAAAACCTGCCAGACTCCAAGCTTTCAAAATAAGAGTTGATCACCAGTGCATTCCCATATAATAACTGTGGAGAAGGAACAAAATGAGAACCTGATTCAGGTAGATGATCAGGATTACCAACTGATTTTGACCATACCATGCAATGTATGGAAAACTTCATATACAGGTGAAACTCGAAAAATTAGAATATCGTGCAAAAGTTCATTTATTTCAGTAATACAACTTAAAAGGTGAACCTAATTTATGAGATAGACTCATTACATGCAAAGAAAGATAGTTCAAACCATGATTTGTCATAATTGTGATTATTATGGCTTACAGCTCATGAAAACCCCAAATCCACAATCTCAGAAAATTAGAATATTATGAAAAGGTTCAATATTCTAGGCTCAAAGTGTCCCAGTCTAATCAGCTAATTAAGCCATAACACCTGCAAAGGGTTCCTGAGCCTTTAAATCTCAGTCTGGTTCAGTAGGTATCACAATCATGGGAAAGACTGCTGACCTGACAGTTGTGCAGAAAACCATCCTTGACACTCTCCATAAGGAGGGAAAGCCTCAAAAGGTAATTGCAAAAGAAATTGGATGTTCCCAAAGTGCTGTATCAAAGAACATTGATAGAAAGTTATGTGGAAGGAAAAAGTGTGGAAGAAAAAGGTGCACAAGCAGCAGGGATGACCGCAGCCTGGAGAGGATTGTCAGGAAAAGGCCATTCAAAAGTGTTGGGGACTTTCACAAGGAGTGGACTGAGGCTGGAGTCAGTGCATCAAGAGCCACCACACACAGACGGATCCTGGACATGGGCTTCAAATGTCGTATTCTTCTTGTCAAGCCGCTCCTGAACAACAAACAATGTCAGAAGCGTCTTACCTAGGCTAAAGAAAAACAGACCTGGTCTGTTGCTCAGTGGCCCGAAGTCCTCTTTTCTGGTGAGAGCAACTTTTGCATCTCATTTGGAAACCAAGGACCCAGAGTCTGGAGGAAGAATGGAGAGGCACACACTGCAAGAGGCTTGAAGTCCAGTGTGAAGGTTCCACAGTCTGTGTTGATTTGGGGAGCCATGTCATCTGCTGGTGTTGGTCCACTGTGCTTAATTAAGTCCACACAGCCGTCTACCAGATTTTGGAGCACTTCATGCTTCCTTCCACAGACGAGCTTTATGGGGATGCTGACTTCAGTTTCCAGCAGGACTTGGCACCTGTCCACACTGCCAAAAGCACTAAAACCTGGTTCAATGACCGTGGGATTACTGTGCATGATCGGCCAGCAAATTTGCCTGACCTGAACCCCATAGAGGATCTATGGGGCATTGCCAAGAGAAAGATGCGAGACATGAGACTGAACAATGCAGAAGAGCTGAAGACCACTATTGAAGTATCCTGGTCTTCCATAACACCTCAGCAGTGTCACAGGCTGATAGCTTCCATGCCACGCCGCATTGAGGCAGTAATTGCTGCAAAAAGGGCCCAAACCAAGTACTGAGTACATATGCATGCTTCTACTTTTCAGAGGTCCGATATTGTTCTATGTACAATCCTTGTTTTATTGGTTACATGTAATATTCTAATTTTCTGAGATTGTGGATTTGGGGTTTTCATGAGATGTAAGCCATAATCATCACAATTATAACAAATCACGCTTGAACTATCTTGCTTTGCATGTAATGAGTCTATCTCATATATTAGTTTCACCTTTTAAGTTGTATTACTGAAATAAATGAACTTTTGCACGATATTCTAATTTTTTGAGTTTCAACTGTATGATAGGAATGGGGCAACCTCATGGATTATGCTGTTTTGCTGCTGTCTCCTCCTGTCACAAACTTGCTTTTCAAGAAACAAGCATAGGCTAGGACTGTTCCTGTACAATCTAGGAAGTACTAAAGGAAACCCATCCAAACCATACCCAAAATTCCTTCCAGTATTAATTCTTAGGTACATTACAAGCCAACATATACTGGTAGATATTTTAAAAAAATTTATTTCTGACAAATAAACAGGAAGAGGCATCTCTTGAACATAGGCACCCATGATTTTATACAGGAAAAAAAAAATAACAGCCACATGAACAGCTTTACACGTGGATAAATATATTAGCAAAATAAATAAATTTGAGCATGTCCCCATATTCAAACGATCTCTCTTAGACATAAATATTTGGTTTTGCATATGTATATACATAAACATAATTTTTCCCTTTTGGTTTATAAAAGTACCCAAGTGCCTGAAAAGTAGATTCAAAAAATTAATTACAAAGTATAAAAATAAATTCCTTATTCACATTTCAAAGGGTCTGAGGTTGCCAGGAGGAAGGAGCAGAACAACTGCAGCAGACAAAATTTGAAGGCGAAGGTGCTGAAAGGAAAAGAACTATTCAATGTGTTCTCACTGACTCACTGTTTCCCTGTGGAGTAAGTTTTTTCATCCTTTCTATGGCTTGTGCTTTGACTCCAACTGAAACAGAACTACAGCCAAACTGGTGCCTAGTCTTCAGATGTTTTTGACAGGTTTCAGAACATCTAAATGAGCGCTATTTTTGCTCCTGAAACATTTTCCAGTCTAAAAATACAGCAAGGTTAATTCCAGTTTTTCTAGTCTCTCTTATAGTTGCCACTAAATTGCTCCGTTTGAAGTACTCCTAGCATACAAGAAATTGTGTATTGACCTGAAAAGACTAGTAATTTCCCCTGAATATGTAACTTTGAAGTGTGAGAGAGCGGCTGGGTCCATGTCTTGAAGTCAGTGAGAATGAGATAATGGGACAGGGCTTTTTTCTGTGTAATTTTCTTGGATTTGGGTTTTTTTGGGGTGGGGGGGGAATCATTGTGAATGTAGGATGCTCTTCCTGTTGTGCAGTATGGTGGAAAACATCCCATCGAACTTCACCAATAAGGCAGTGGTAACTCCGTAGAACACACAACCTGTGACTTGGGGCACTCCTTTATGAAAAGATCTTCTGGTCACTCTGTTCCTGTTCTGTACCCAAGGGGAACATGAATCTTTTCCAAAGCAATGTAAGTCTTTATCCTATGATACAATGCTTTCTTACCTGTGGTGCTTTTTAATACATTTTAGGACCGAATTCCCTATTTTGCATAAAATGTTGTTTTCTTGCATTTACAGCTTTCTAGCACCTACGTGCCATTAACCTTCTTTATCCATGAATATGTCTCTAAGTTCACATCCAATTTTTGGATGACTATTCATCAAAAGATGTATCTGTCAGCAATTTCTGTGAATTTTCAGGCTTTTTTTTTAACCTGCATTAATCACTGATCTAATCTCATCAATATCACCTATAATAGTTCCTCAACCTAATATTCTCCAGATGGCGTAGGATTATAATCACCAGAATTTCCAGACACACCACCATACTATCAAGCCCAGATAGCTCAGCAATTCTGATTTAAATCTTGGAAAGCACTATAGATCAGGGACCATACATACTCAGCTCATCCTGGAAATGCTATGGTTTGAATCTGTTACTTTTTGCATGCCAAACAAGCTCTCCATCTTCTCCCTCTTTCTACCTCCAATTCATTAATATCACGGATGCACATAACCTGATCAACATTTTCCTTATATTATTTGATCAAATATGAAATGAATAAAAATAATAAACTCCAGGTATATATTTTGGATTTCCATTAATCCTAAAAACATTTTAAAGATACATCCCTGGCCAACTTGGTCCCCTTTCATTAGTTGCAATGCATTATGAGGAAAGCGACAGTAATAAGTACACAGTTCTTGGTTTCCTTGCTCACATCACAAAAATCTCTGTTTGACCTTTGGTGGGTTCTTTAGAAAGGAATCATTTTAATCATAAATCATTTTCATTTTATGTCCCGTTCAAAATCTTACCCAAAGGATGAATGTTTGCAATGCTTCAGGAGTTAATGGTCTTGTATAGTCAGTGAGATTCTGAGTATATCTAAAGATTTGTATCACCCTTTATGCCAATTCAACTGATACAGTTTCTCCCCAGAGAATCCAGGACTATTAGTTTGGTAAGCATGCTGATTATTCTCAGTCAGATTTAAACCAGTGCATGGATGTACCTAAAATGCCAGAGTATTTTAAATCAGAAAAATATCCTTAGCTACATCTCTAATTTGCCACATTCACAACAGTACCGTATTAGTATCCCAAAGCTTGCTGTTTGACTACAGATTACATTTATCAATTAGCAACTTATCACAGTATTGCTATTCAATTAGGCCTCAGGATGAGGTGTTTTAGACGTGCCAGTTACCAAACCGCTTGCCTGTATTCACTCAAAGAGAAAAAAAAGATACCTGGACATATTAACTCTAATTTCACAAACTTCAGCTCTTTGTCTTCCACATGTAAAGTGCAGCATGACTGTCTTCAGATGGGAATTGTTACCTATTCACAATTGGATACTGAGGAGGAGGAGGAAGGAGGAAGAAGAGAAAATAATATTGTGGGATATGTTGTGGAGAGTGCTGGATGTGAGGATTAAAGAGAAGGGTTTAAATCTTTGATTAGGGCTACTCCGAGAAAAACGGAAATCTTGGCCCTATCATGGCAAAGACACCGGGAAATGTCTGAGAATCCCTTTTGGGGCTTGTGGGGTGGGGGGTAGTTTATTTTTTGACAATTTTAAGAAGCTACACAGAGATTCTTGGTCCAAATCCAGCCTCTGAAAATCTCTTCCCTCCATATCAGTACCAATCTAGGGCTGAAAGTTGTGTGGAGAACTGGGTTTTGTACTGTAGTTAACAGATGTTGTTAGTTTATGGCATCCTGAAATATTCCTATCTGCCATTTTTCAATTCAGTTTTCTAAATGGTACAAATCAAATAACAATCAATTAGTGCTATTTGGTCTTTTTGCTCCTCAAGGATCAGGCATTTCAGTTGGTACAGCCAACAGCTGTAATTCACATGAGGCAGATTTGGAATTCTCCCATGCTATTATCTGATGTAGCAGACAGTATTCAGAAGGGAAGGAGATATGCTCCTTCTAGATATTTTGGCAAACTGAGCATTAACAACATTCCTATGTTGCTGAGGATGGGGAAGAGAATTTGGATCTTGCAAACTACATTCCTCTTGAACCAAGACTGATAGGCACATCAGAAGAAAAAAAATAGCAGGAAAAGAATGGAATGATTCCTCTGTCTAATTTCAACCTGCATATCATACATGCTCTTGGAATTGGGGGAAAGTGTAGGGTTGTTCCTGCATTCTATTTTGCAAATGTAAAAAGCAAATGTAAGTGAACTTGATGGTGGCTCTTTTTTCCCTTAGAAATTTTGAATGATTTTACTCCACTCTCCTTAAGGAACGATATGAACAGTAAAGATCCTCCTAAATGAAAAAAGTCTTCAAGGTGGCAGCTTCCCAAAACAATGCAAGTGACATTGGCAGCTTATAGTTCTGACAGGCAGGTGACCACTTGTGGGTTGAATTGTCTGGACAGAAAATTTAGTAAGCCAACAAAAGAGGCATGAAGAGTTTGTAAGAAAGCACATTCTCACTGAGTTTCTGGTCTCTTCTCTTAGGCTGTCTGATAAAGTTCACCTCACATCAAACTGAATGTTCATACACATTGGGGATATCTTCTGTAGATCCTGTAATTAAAAAAAAAAAAAAACCAAGCAACTAGAATGAGAAAATGGATCTCCTTTTATGTTGATCAACTGCAACCTAAACTGATACTGAGACTTAAATAAACCTTTAAGTGACATTACATCTTCATTAGATTTGTTCTTACAATGAAGTTGCAAAACAGATAAAATGAACACTGAAGACATGGCATTACAGTAATGTCAAGCCTGTTCTCATTTTATAAATAGAAAATTCAACAAAGAGAATGCATTTATGGCATATTTCAATACATTTTCAGGCACAATTCAAAGTCATAAACTTTTTGAAATTGGGAATATTAGGGTTATTCCTTCTCTTTCCAATTGTAAAGCTGTCATCATTCTCAGAGGTAAGTTGGATTCTGAATAGCCATAAAGTTTGTCATGGTTTCCAAGCTTTAGGGCCATTCCTAGTCATTCAGTTTCAAATCTATCCACCCATTTTTGAGACAGCAGTAAATTATACCCAGTATTTAAAACTGTTTTGACAAATTCCTTGTTTCTGAATATCTCTTATTACCGTAAAACCACCCACAAATTATAACACTTTTGTCATTGCTTTTGACAGATAGCTAGACCTACAAAATGTTGATATTTAAATTTATACTGCATACTGGATATATGTTTTCTTCTTTGTTATATATTTATAATAAACAGGTAGTTCTGCACTTATGACCACAATTGAGCCCAGAATCTCGGTCCCTGAGTCAGGCAATCATTAAACAGGGGTCCTTGGGGCTCTCTTAGCTTACTTGTTTTCTTGCAAGCATTTCATTACCCTAACTAGGTAACATCATCATTGTTAGTAATGAAACATTTGCAAGAAAACAAGCAAGCTCAAAGAACACCAAAGACCCCTCATTTCAACCCTGAGTTATAAATATTCTCCTTTATTGGAATCATTAAGATGCAGATGATCATTTTGTTTAGTGACTGCAATCCCAGCTCTCCCAGTTGCAATATTTAAGCAACTGTGGGAGTTGTTAATCAGAGCTGGACAAGGTAATCTCTCAGCACATTGAATGAATGGCCTCAAATCTGGCAAAAAGAAAACCCTAGCCAATATTACTGCTCTGGAAGACTCAGAATGCTGATGTTCACTAACATTTTGCCCTCCAGAGAGGAAAAGACAATAGTGTTCACTGAAGTGCTAGGAAATAATATTCTGACAGGCTCAGAATCCTGGTGTTTGCTAGCCTTTTAACCTCTGAAGGGATGGAGACAATGATGCTTGCTCAAACACTACCAAACGGCAGCATTCTGAGCTTTTCAGAATACTGGCAGTCAATAGCATTTTCACCAGCTTTGAAGTCCATTCCTCCAGTGCACCGAGAGGAGGGGAATTCCCTTGGCATGCTGGGGAAACGGAGCTCAAATCCAATGTCCCCTCCACTTGCAATGTTTCCTCCTGGCTTCCCCATTGATGTTCTGAGGAAACTAGCAGAAGAGAGTGCAAATAGCAATCACATGATTCCAGGGCACTTGGCATCAGCTCATGAATGCCAACAGTTTGCCAAATGCCCCAAATGCAGTCATGTGACTGGGAGGAGAGGCAATGCAATGTTTTACAATAGTTGGAAGTTCTGAGGGTGCTGTGATTGTGAATGGTGATTAGGCCAGATGTAAATCAAGCACTACCTCTATTGCAAGCCACTTTATACAAAAAGATAAAGATACAAGATAAATTTTATGCAAGCAGTAAGTTCACAGCAGGGGCAAAATTTCAGATGAAATAGCACAATTGAGTTGGAAGCTACTTTGTAAATCATTTAGTCCAATGCCCAACCAATATAGATGCGACTCCTATAACCAGATCACCAGAGTATGCTTCCTTTACCAAATAATGCTTTAATAATAAGCTTTCCATTTTGCAATACTCAAAGGTATTGTCATCGGAGTGGAAGTTTAAGTGCTGATTCCTAGAGAGAAGGTGCAGAATGAGTAAAACATATCATGCTTGAGTTCCCATTAACTGAAGGGGTTGGCATCTTTGATCAAAAGCTCCCATCCCATTCGTAGTATGTTGAATACAATCCTCTAAAACCAGGATTGTATTAAAGCTCACTAACAAACTAACTTCTATTCCCAGAATTCTATGAGGGCAGCTTGACATACATTTTAGAGACAGGCATTACAAGATGTTCAAAAGTACTGAGTCTACATACTGCAGATGGAAAATAGAGATGAAATGACCCTGGAAAATAAAGATATATGAGTCTCTAAAGGTTCAAACTTACCCTGAAGATTTTGCAGAATTCTATTATTGAGGTAAGAGCTTGTACTGCTTCTTTTTGCATCCACGTCTGAACATTCTTCTGGAAACATGTGTTCACAATCCAATTGTCCCAGCGTGTCCCTTTTTTCCTGGGTCTCCATGGTAAAACATGGAGTTAGGCATTTTGATACCCCCGGCAAGGCTGCAAAATTATGTGCAGGAGGACCACCTACTAAAAGAGGTTGAATTTCTGAGGAACCCTGGTTTCTAGAAGAACCACCAGGATGGCTAGCAATTCTGCATTCCAGGGTTGTGCTGGAGTCCTCAGGTGACGTCTCAAGAGGACACTTCCATCTCCTTCTACCTGGATGGATTTGCGCATGCTGTTTCTGAGTACCCCACAGTCCAATAGATCCAGCTTGGCTACTGGCTGTCATGTTAATGTCAGACCCATCTGCCAAATACAGTTCAGTGTGTCCTTGCCTAGAAAGATCTAGCATTTGCATTTTCTCTCTCCTTTTTGGTACTGAGATGTTTTGTGACCCTACCTTTGTCCTGGAATATTTCATCTTGCGTAAGTTAGACTCTTGGTTTGATCTGCCACTTGGACAGTTGGAAGGTTTCTGCCCATAATGGTGATGCCTGTGGTGATGGTGATGATAGTGGACATGTTTACTGGCTAGTTGTGCTCTACTTGTTACCATTGAGTCTACTGACTGAAGTTGCGAATCCTTCCCAGATGAAGAAGAATCTTGTTTGTTTTCTGTGGTCAACTTCTCTGAACCACAGAAGGTGAACGGATCATAATCACTGCTCAGGGAGCTATGAAAAGTAGAGCAACTGCCATGGATAGCCTGAAGACTGATGTCAGTGCAATTCAACATGGAGTCACTGGAGCTGCCGTGGCAAGGACCTGAACTGGAGTCACTACCAGGGCCATCAGGAAGGTATCCACTGGGTTCTGTAAGATAACTCTCCCCAGAACCACTACTGTGGTGATGGTGATGCCTCCCATGGCGAAGTCCTCGGTGTAAAGGAACAGCATGATTTATCTGAGCTGCAAGGGGAGCCCGGAGACCTTGGCAAGACGGCTGGTGTTGAAGCAGGCACAGCCTATGAGGGGGCAGGGCTGGCTCACACACTACTGGGGACTCCAGGTGATGCTGAGAACGTAACAGGCTTCTGCTGAGAGGAGCTTGGTGGCTACACCAAGGCTCAAGGCCAATTGGCCTATAGGGCAAGTAATGCATAGTTCCAAAATCCAACTGGGAGAGTTCAGGAGAGTGGAAAAAAGGCTGGCCACGGGAGCCAACTGAAGAGCAGTTCCTGGAGGGCATTTGAGGGACAGTTCGTGAGAAGTGGTACAAGGCATGCCCTGGTCGTTGCCGGAATAAATGAGGCCTCTGTCTAGATCCAGAATTGTGTCGGTCCTCACGAGATTGCCTGGGTAAAGTAGGGGGAATCCGATCTGGAAAAGAAAATTAATTTTGAGCAGAGACTTAAGCCTTTGTGAATCCTAATCATGCAGTATGGTAATTTAAAAAAAATTCTTCTCTAGGACTAGCAGCCATCTTTTTATCTAAATGAGTTTGCAATGTCTCATTTGGAAGCAAAATGCAGGGCCTCACTGTGTTCTGGTAATGACCGACATCTTCAACTTGGGCAGCCAGATTCTCTTCAGCCAATCTGTTTCTTGATGAACTAACTATTGCAGCAGTTTGACCGCAACGTGTCTGGAGCCTCCAGTATGAACTCAACACTATAGCAATACAAACAAATGAAAGTTTATACTGAGTCAGACCATTAGGTCATCAATCTTAATATGATTCTGCACTGATATGCAGTGCCTCACACAATTTCAGCCAGGGGTCTCTCCCAGCCCTACCAGGAAATGCCACAACACTGTTAATCTGCAGCAGTGCCTGAATAAATACCTGATAAAGCGGTAGCAGACAGATTGGCAAAGAACAAAACTGCTTCATCAAATTGGGAACAAATTTAATTTTACTAGTTTCTCAGCCTCATTTGTGGAAGCTGGACGGCTGTTTCCTTCTTCTTCTTTTTTTACAGTTTTAGAAAAGAATAAAAAAAAATCTGGAGCAGCCCAATCTAGGTTTATCCTGTCCCTTTTCTGTCTTTTCTACACATTCATGAGGGATTCAGAACCAAAACAAATATGGTGTAACAAGAGAAAGGTTTTTGCAGAACCATGCTACTACTATGCTGATCTTGTATCTAGCGACTGGAATCTTATGTTAAACTGACTTCCCATTTGGTATGGAGAGATGCTAAATTTGCAGTCTCAATCTTCCACCATCTTTTGACTGCTTAACTGGAAAATGGAAACTCTTTTGGCCTTTCTTCAGTTGATTATGGGTTTGAAATCAAGGCAAGGAAAGCAAGAATTATCCCCTCATCTAAATGGTCAAAGGTCTAAGGCCCAAGTACAGCTAAAAGCCAGAATTATTTCTGACCCACAAGAGAGAGCTCGTAAGAAAGTAATCGGAAGCTACATGAAGTTGCTTATCTATTTAAAAGCCTTTTCTCAGGATTTACCACTTTCAGAAAGACTGAGTTTATGCAGGTAAAAATTGCAGAGGGTGAGGTGAAGCAAGGTTTTGAGGATAAAGCAGAGAATTCTTTATATCAGAAAATGAAAATCCTACATGTTGATTAATATGTAAAAAAAGAAGTAGGCAGTTTGAGAAATATGATAAACACCATGACCATTGAAACAGCATTGAAATAAATATTCTAGATAACATAACCCATTTACAGGATCTGCTTCATAGAAATAATTTAGTTTTTAAATATAATACTCAAGAAGATCAGTCTATAGTAGTTTTATAGAGAAGTTTAGATATAGAGGTTAAAACTTCTATAATTTAACAGAGTTTACACCATAGTTCACACAGAAGCTAAGTGAAAATACTTTGGCTTCAAATAATCTGAATGCTGCTGGGAAATACCATCTTCCTCTGCCATACAAGAAGACTGTCAAAATGGACAGAACAATGTGGGTATTGCAAAATGTGGGTGTTTCATTTTCCTGATGACTGGATTACAAAGCTCAGGAATTTAAAGTAATTCACCTATTCAGTATTTTGTTAGTCCAGAATCCAGGGCAACTTCGGGGTGGGGGGCAGCTTATAGTCTATGATATGAGGTCATATCCTGTCTTTACCTTGGCAAACAGGATTTTTGGAATGGTATACAAAGGTACTAATATTTTTGAAGTTGCCTCCACAAACTCTTCAGGAACATAGACCATTTAATATAACTTGTTTGGCAGCAGAAAAAAAAGTGTCTCATGGGATTTACTAAGGTTGCCCTTTCAGTCTTTTAGTTAAAACATTAACTAAGTATAGAACACCCTTAAAAAAAAAAAAAAAGTTTTCTTGCTTTCCGGAATGCCAAGCAGGAATGCCAAGCAGAGTCATTCTGGGGGACAATACATTCTACAATTCGAGGGCAGCCATACAGAAGACCTGCCTTGATTTTCTCTTTTTCATATTTTATTTCCCCCCCTTATTTTTCTTTCAAATGTGTATACTTTCATTCTATTCAAAAATTCTAATAAAACTAAAAAAAAAAACCCTGCTTTCTTGTATACGGTTTTCTCTGATCTTGCAGAGACTGCATCTTAAAGAGAATTTTCTTCAGAAGTCCTAACAGTAAACATATATTGCATAATATAGTCTCTAAGATAACCCCCTGCCAAGCCACGCAGGGTTTCTAAGTCATGTCCGACACTTTGAATTGGATCCAAACCTGACTGGCTATCAATACAGAAATCACATTTGGTATTTCTCTCAATAGCAGCCTGACTACTGTATTCTGCGCCAACTGTTGCCTCCAAATTATCTGCAATGGCAGCCCCATTTAGTTACTCTTACATTTTCTAGTCCAAGAAATTAGAGATTCATTCAACCAAATACAGCCGAGTTAATGGCTACCGATCTCTTGTTAAAAAAATCAGAATCTTTATGCTCTTAGGTAGAGTACCTCTGAATTCTGAAGTCTGAGTCTTGAGAACAACTGTGGAAGAAGAGTATTGTGCCCTTCATGTGTTTGTGGAATTCCCAGAGGCCTTTGATTGCCAATGGCATACACTGTGTAGTCTTAGGACTGATCCAGCATGCCTGATTTTTAACTACTACTCTCAGAGATGTTTCTGCTCAATCTTACCAACAATGTTGAACATGCATAATGGACATGTTTGGTGCTGCTGGAGCCAAGGGTCCACACACTGCCGATGGAACTCATGGGAACAGGTGATGATCCGTAGTTCCTGCAAAATAGGAAAAGGCAATGGGATGAGAAGGTAGTGTTCTAGATTCAAAGGAAGGAAGCTTCTTGATATGGGTGGGTCAGTCTGCTGTTACCTTGTGGCTTATCTCACTGGAAAGGTCTGATGGGAATGTGGTTAAATCCCTGAGCTTCAAACAAGTAATAAGGTTTAAGAATCAAAGTCTTGCAAAAACATGTCTCTGTCTCTCAAACCTCACTACTCATTTGAGGCTTCGTGTGTTTTTAATCTAGTCTATAGGTAAATTTTTTTACAAAATGATGACTAAATAAAGACTAAAATAAGATAGTTGAATGATTGGGAAGAATTAAAATAGGCATTAATTCACAGTTACAAAGGTTTGTTTTTTTGACATTGCTCCTTCTCCTGTTCACAGATGGGGCCAGGGTGATCCAACCAGCCTTATAGCACACATATGCCTGTTTTCTACATGCATTATATCATCATACTACCCAAAGGGGACAGAACTTGCAGTGCGATGTTGTTTTCACCATGTGAAAAATGCACTAAAAATGCATTTGAGATTTATTTTTCAAGTTTATATAGCCATCAATATTATAAAACATGACTCTGAATGGAGTACAACAAAGTTCAAAATAAGATCCCACAAAATATCCAAGACATTCCACAGTGCACACTAAGGCCCTCTAGAATATTGAATGCACAAGTAACGAGCCATGTTTTAATCACTTCATCCACAGATTGGCTAGACTTGGTTTCCCTCTTGCTCTAAAAACAGGAGGCTTTGGCATTCTTCTCACTCACCGGTCTCTGAAGGGCCTGCTTATTTGACCTGAGAATCTATGTGAGAACTCCCAAACCAGAAACGTAGGCTTACCTGCCCCTCACAAAATTCTTCCAAACAGATTGCACATATGGGAGGAGAACTGCAGGTGCTAACCGAGTCCCCCGTTGGGGCATGCCGATGGGGGTTTTGATACCTCCGTATGGCCATCCGGTTGATTGCTTGTATGGTTGCTTCCTGCACATTGGTCTGAGGAAGGATGAGAATATAGAAGGAGAAAAACTTCAAAGGCCTCACCTCCTGCACAGCTGACATGGGTCACAACAGTCAGCATTTCCTTGCAGTTTAAATAGACGACCAAGTTAAAGGGGTTTGGGTCAACCTAGTTCAATCAAACCGCTCTTGCTTAATACAGGAATTTTTTTAGGAAGCCGTATCTTCTTACAGTGTGCTGCTAAACCATTGCTAGGGCAATGGCAATGGAAACTCACCTCATGAGAATTTCAGGAGAATCCTCTTGTAGCAGCACAATGTATGGCAGATATGGTTGGGAGGTTGCAGACAAAAAAAACCCCGACTCTTTAATCTGCTACTGGGAAGCTAGGCTGAGCCAGATTAGGAAGCGTATCTTGCTTTCCTTGTACAGTAAATGAATATTACAGAGTTGTTGGGAGTTGGATGGTATATACATGCATAAATGAATAGCTAAACTCACTAGGCAACTACTTCTTCAAAATTCCCATAAAATCCTTCTTTAATATATCTTGATTATATCAGATCAAAATTTAATTGTGTCCATCTGTACCAAAAGCCTGATATAAAACAACCTGCTGCTCAGAGTTTCCAAAAATGGAATGATACAAGTTGAAGTACAATATTAAATAAAGTACAGGTAGTCCTCGACTTACAATGGTTCACTTAGTGACTGTTTAAAGTTACAACACTACTGAAAAAAGTGATTTGTGACTATTTTTCACACTTACGGCGGTTTCAGCATCCCCACGTGATTTACATTTGGATGCTTGACAACTGACTCACATTTATGACGGTTGCAGTGACCCGGAGTTACGGGATCCTCTTTTGCGACCTTCTGACAAGCAAAGTCAATGGGCAAACCAGATTCACTTAACAACTGCGTTACTAATTTAACAACTGCAGCGGTTCACTTAACTAACGTGGCAAGAAAACGTGTAAAATGGGGCAAAACTCACTTAACAAATTTCTCACTTAGCACCATAACTTTGGGACTCAATTGTGATCGTAAGTTGAGGACTACCTGTATTATTACAGGTTTGGAATGATACAATACCCAGTTCTTGTGCTTTGTGAGTTTTTGGTGCCACTGTAAAACATGTGTCTGACATCTAAAACCTATAGTTCAAATTCTATGGGGACTTAGGTTGGATACAAAGACTCTCATGATTTTCATGGATCACCAGGAAATACTAATTAAAACCTTAATCATGTTATCAGAGGGAGGAACATTTTCTGGAAGGATTGAGAACACTTGATATCAGATGGAGTACTACTACACAATTCTTACCTGATTTCTGCTTGGCTGACAACGAGTGCGAACGAAGAAGACTACAACAATGACCAGTACGGTACCCACAACAGTGAGGAGTATCCAAACATCATATTCTGGCTGTTGGGAAGACCCAAGAGATTAGAGCTCTGCCATTCATTCCAATAGGCAACCTCACATGATATGCCAAAACAAATCAGAACAGTGTGGTGATTAAGCGTCGGTTCAAATCTCTATACACCCTTGTCATTCACTGGTTTATTACATTATTCTATAATTTAGTCAATAATTTGATTAAACGATATAATTTATTTGAGCAGGAAATCAAACGATATCGTGGTAACATGCAGGAGAAAAGTAAGAGACATAAATATTGCTAATGCAAAAAGAAGTAAAGGAGAAAAGGTTAGATTAAGCTGGAATAACTAGAAATTCCACATTAGAATATTAAGTTTCAGATGGTGATGATTAGGCAGAAAATAACAGAAATATGTAGAAATATCAAATATAGATACATATAATCAACGTAATGATAATAATACTTAACTTCCAGATATAGGGAAAAAAACTACCTGAGAAGGAATTATAAAAATATAAAGAGGGATTAAGGCTAGAAATATGAGGGATATCAGCAGAGAAGGGAAAGGATAAAGAATGAGAAATCTGAGTACAAAAGGAACAAATAAAGAAATAGGAATGAAAACTATTAAGAACAAATTCTACTCCTAATCAACAGATTTACTACAGGGGAAAAAATCTGATAGTACTATAACTAAACAAGAATGCAATAAAAGCTCACACATTAACAAAGAAAAGACTATTAAGATAGGACTGAGTGGTTCTCCAGAGTAAGAAGCTTTAAAGCTAGACTGATAGGCGTCAAAGATGAAAGACAACTAAGACAACACATACAGAGAACAGGACATGAGGCAAAAAGATGATTGCAACAGGTCTGCAACAAATATGTTATTGAGCCAGACTGGATAGGTGGAATTATTACATTAAGTGAAGGAATCAAAGTTTAGGGTTTTAGCTCACCTAAAAGTGTTAAGAAAAATCGAGAAGAATTAATCAAAAGAAACATTTCTGATATAGCAGCAAGAAAAAAAAATCACCAAAACTGGGATTGAAAAAAACATGAGAATACAGGTAAGTCGTTGACTTGCAACAGTTTGTTCAGTGTCTGTTCAAAGTTACAACAGCATTGAAAAACGTGACCTATGACCATTTGTCCTACTTACGACCATTGCAGCATCCCCATTTATGTTTGGATGCTTGGCAACTGGTTCATATTTATGATGGTTGCATTGTCCCGGGGTCACGTGATTTTCTTTTGCGACATTCTGACAAGCAAAGTCAATGGAGAAGCCAGAGTCACTTAACAAACTGTGTTACTAATTTAACAACTGCAGTGATTCACTTATGAGGCAAGAATAGTAGTAAAATGGGGCAAAACTTGTATTTAACACATTTCTCACTTAGAAACATAAATTCTGGGGCTCAATTGTGATCGTAAGTTGAGGACTGTCTATACAAAAACCACGGAGATGTGCAAATTTGGCAAAAACTGTTTTTTTTTTTAAAAAAAAATAATATTTCCAAGAAAAAGAGCAAAAAACAATTTCTGTTACATTTCTGTTTTGCTTCAAAAGTAAATGGCCAAAGCAGAGAATAAAGGTATTCAACAAGTGGAAAACCCAGGACCATTAGCCAAAGAAGCAAATAATAGCTGAAAGCAATGTGGGGGAAAAGGAGGAAGAATGGATCAAACTTCTTCACAATGCAAATCTCCACAGTGATAGGATTAGTGGCTTCTTTTGGCAGCTTTGAAAGTGAAAACAAAAAAATAGCTTAAGTTGGAAATAACCGAGGTGCAGGTACAAGAAGATCATAGATAGATAAAATAAATAGAAACCTCCTTGAGAACAGCTAAATTTAGCCAAGGTATGAAGAAAGGATGAATAGAAAAATATGAAAATCAGCAGCATAAATATCACAAATATCCCGTGGCTAAACTTCCCCAGTCAGTAGTTCCTTACATCTAAGTTGGCTGGAGAGGGGTTGTGTTATAGCCAAACACATCTGGAAGGGGAATTAATTTGAGAAAAGTTGTCTTAGGCTAAAGAGGAGAAAAAAATGCAACAGAGATAGAACCATGGCTAATTGCTGTAAGTTGTCTATGATAAAATGGAAAAAACTGGGGCTAGTTAAAGTATAGGTACGCAATCAACATTATTGTGACTTCAGATTTTCAATATGAATCCAGGGAAGAAGAAACTCAGGTGCTTACTTACCCAAGCTGGCATTTCCTTCACCTCAATCTTCACATGGGCTTCACGGTTATTGTTCACTACTCTCATGAGAAGTTCAGCATTGTGGCCCCAGATCAGAACAACAGGATAACTTAGCTCTTGAGGCTTCTTCAACTGTGGAGAGATGGAATATGAATAAGGCTCTCTGGACCATTCTACAAAACGCTCATTTGGCTTGGGGAAAACCTGGAAATCATTTCTTTAGCGTGTTTCAGCAAAGATTGGATTCATGTCTCATCTCTACTGGGGTGATGACTATCTTAAAATCTCATTGAGTCATATGGTATTAACCAGAAAGCTGCTTGCTTAACATAAGAAGACAATCCTAATGACCAGATGAGACCATCAAGCTGCCTTGAAATCCAAATGGTACTCCTTTCTGATTTAGCTAGTGAGCCTTCATACGTTGAGTTTGTTTAATGAATTCATCTATCCAATGAAACTCTGGACAGCAAACATAAAATGCAAAATATCAACAGTTGTAACAAACACCCCCCCACACACACCACTGGTCAATGTTTCCTCATTAATATATTAGGATACCCATCCTATACATTGACACTGGATCTTCAGAACTAACAGCCCGAATGCCTGAAGGAAGAGTTAGTAAGGTTATGGGTCATCCATATATTGGGGCAAAGATGTTCCATATGGCAGGCACCATGACAGAGAAGACTTGCTTCCTAAGATCCACCAGGTGAAATTGCCTCACTGTAGGGCCAGGAATATGCCCATTCTACCAGATCTAGTAGGTCAGGCAGAAACGGTTGGGGAGAGGTGATCCCTCAATTACTCTGGCCCCATGCCATGCATCACATTAAAAGAGATAACTAGCCTCTTGAAGTGCAACCAAAAGCCTGCTGGAGTCACTGCAGAGCACATAGCTGTGCGTTATGTGGGTGTATCATGGTGCATGCAATTCTGCATGTGCCACTGCATTCTGGACCAGCTGATGCTTGTAAATACTTCTGAAGGCAGCTCCATGAAGAATGTGTTGCAACAGTCAATATGCGAGAGTGATTAATATGACAGTGAGAAGTGCCTCCAATCCAGGAATGGGTGCAACTGGTGCACAAGAACATTTTGTGTGAAAGCCCTCCTGGCTATCTGCTCCTTAGGTATAAGCTGCCAGACCATGAAGACCCTGAGATTGCAAATCAACTCTAATTGAGGAAATGTAACCCCATTCAGAGTTAGCTGTGGAAAACTGCCAGGTATGGGGAGTTCTAGAACACACAGCCACTCAGGGTTGTCAAGGTTGAAATGAAGCTGGTTCTTCCCCATTCAGACCTACAAAGCCTCCAGGCACTGGGAAAATGCAAGTGCTTCAATAGCATCACTTAGACAGCCTGAGACATAAATGTACAACTGAGTGGCATCGGCATACTGATGAAACTCCACCCTATACCAAACCATATGCAGTGGTTTCATATAGACATGAAATAGGACCCAGGAGCAAATCAAGCCCTGTGGCAGCTGAAAAGCAGATGGCCTAGGGCTGGACCTTTCCCTCCTATCAACCCCAACTGGAATTGGGGAAAGGAGAACCACTGTTTACAATGCCTCCTACCTCCTAGCATATCACAACTGATGGTATCAAAAGCTACTGAAAGACTAAGATGGGCCAACGTGGACACATTACCCCGATCCCAAGCCCAACAGAGGCCATCTGCAAACATGATCAATGCCATCTCAGTGCTACATATAGCTTGAACCCCAACTTCAATGAGTCCAGTTCTTCTAAATCCACTTCCTCCAAAGACATTTGAAGCTGTATCTCTACTACTTCCTCAACAACCTTGATTGGGAGTTGGTCAGAGTTTGTAAGAAGATAGGCAGCTATATAAACTTTTTAAATAAATAAATAAACCTTCCCTGTTTAGATATTGGATGAAAATTGTCCAGTACAACTGGGTACAGTGATGCTCTCTTAACGAGGGGCAGACTACTACCTCTTCTAAGGCAGGTGGAACCATTGCCTCCTACAAGGAGATATTTACCATTGCTTGAGTCCCATTACATGTCACCTCTTAGGAGGCTTTAACCAGCCAGGAGGGACATGGATCTAACACAGGTAACATTCCAAGGACCATGTCCATTTCTTTAAAAGTAATTGAATCAAATTCAGCCCAGATAACTGGGCAGCACAACTCAAATCAGGATAATTATAAGAAGATTCAAGCAACTTTGTCTATCCGATGCTCAATGTAATTCTCACAATGAATTGGATCCCCAACTTCACCTCATCCAAAAGGGACTGAATCACTTAAAACAGGGTTGCTGGTCAGTAAACTGCAGGTGCAATAAGGATGAAGAAATAAGCACATTTCACCACTCTAATTGCCACAAGGCACTCCTTATCTGTATTAAGTCTTGCTCTTTGTCTTTCGGTTTTCCTGCACATATTTATTTTAAAGCGTGGGTGCTTTTTTGCCATACCGATTATTGTAATCACACTTAGTGGAAGTTTCTATCTTGTTAACCCAATATGAATTAGGGAGACAAGAACAAAAGCAAGCATCATCACAAAATATGTGGATTTAAAACTGTATTTGCAGAGGCAAATATTCAGTCTTCAAAACTACAAGACAAGGAAAAGAGTTGGACCAGATAATCTAAAAAATCTCTTCCAACACTTAAACACCATGATTGTATGACTTAAGGCATTCTCTTTCATGGACCTGGGATGAGATGAAGACAATGTCATGGGGGATAATAAAAAGACATTATCACAACAAGTTTGTTCCATGTTTAACTCCAAGCAGGGAATAGGTCCTTACAGACTCTGAGAAAGCAATCAGAAGCTGTACTATTATTGTGTGCTACCCAGTCACCTTATAAATTTGATAAATAATTAAATCTGATTAGCTTCACTGTAAAGACAGACTGTTACTTTTTTTGAACAGGATTGCAAAATGTCCTTGGTTATCAACAATTAGATCATTTCTAGCTCCGAGATTAGAAAACACATTGAAATCTACACCATCAAGAGGTACCCAAAGAAATCCCTGAATACTGTTTTCCTAGTATTCAGTTTCAGTGGTGAAATATTTGTGGATGTAGAGTGATAGAATTGAATTCCAAAGAATAATTGGATCACATCCACTTTCCCTTAAAAAAACCCAAGCATTGCCTTAGCTCCATTTTTCCATGTTTCATTATGGCAGAATGGTAGGTCTAACATGAGGAAATATGAGGCTACCTGGCCCAGATGGGAAAATCTGTAGATCACATGAAAGGACAGCTACAATATTTTTGTTTTTACAGGTCACCTGACATAGGAGAAAAGGGAGTCACCTAAAAGCCAAAATAAGGGAATATTAACAGTGCTGTCTTTTCTCCCAGAAGCTTAGTTGCCCTTTTCTCATATGCATTTCTGTGCTGGTGACCAACATGCTTCACATGTATGAAAAGAAATGGACCTGACCATTCCCCCACAACAGGGGCATGCAGTCTGAGGAAACAGGGCTACCAGGGATGAAGAGACAAGAGAACCAGGCTGCGCGTAGTCAGCTCAAATGAGATTCTGGGATTTCTGTTTGCCCATCTACTTATCAACCGTCCCAATTCATAACAGCACATCTGAAGGTCATTGCTTTTGTCAAGTCCTCTAACTAGCAAATTGAAAAATATTCAGAAATATTTTAAAAGAGGGGAGTGAGAGAAGGAAGTGCTGGCCTCACTTCTTTTTAAGAGCAAATCTGTGAAAACAAGAAAGGAACATTTCCTCTTTTCTTCAGAACCTCCTTACCTGGTCAGCAGCACTCTGGTCATCTGTAATGTCAAAAAGAACAGCCCGAGCTCCCCTCTCGCCTGCCAGTTTTGCCTGCAAAGAGAGGAAAGAATTCAAGAGAATATAGGTGAATAACTGTACCATTGTGACCACTTGGCACCTCTCATTCTTTGTTATCCATCTCAATTACTAGATGGGACATCCATGGAGATTTCTCAGTTATCCTGGTCATGGTTGTCTCAAAGGTGCTTTTTTTTTTTTTTTTCAAGAGGCAACTGGACTTTCTGGGTTTTTTTTAAAGACGTTTCTCATCCAAGAAGCTCCTTCAGCTCTGACTGGATGGACAACACAACATACATACATAAAAGAACATACATATATAAAACAACATACGTGCACACTTCACACCTAAAAATACACTAAGGCAGAAACTTGTTCACCCCAAGGATAAAATACCAGATACAAACTGAGCAACCTGATATATGCAGTACAATGCAGTGAGCCATGTGCAGATCTCTACATTGGGGAAACAAAACAACTGTTTCATAAACACAAGGCACAACATAGGAGAACAAACCCATCAGGACAAGATTCAGCAGTCCAGCTGCATTTAAAAGACAAAGGCCACTCTTTTGAAGACAGCCAAGTCCACAATTAGGACAGAGAGGTCCACTGGTTTGAAAGAGGGGTCAAAGAGGTCATCTATGTCAAAACTGAACAGCCTTCACTCAACACAGTGGGATGGATAGGACATCATTTATCTCCAGTCTACCACAATCCTTTCAACAGTTCCAAGAAGGCTCCTCACCCATTTGCATCACTGGTGACCCTGATGACACAGATAAACCTCCAATTTTAATTACTCTCTAAAAGAATGCATATGACCAGCTGTCTTCAAGGAGTGTAAATCCTTCCAATCCCCACCATCCAGTCAGAGCTGAAGAAACTTCTTTGATGAGAAGTGAAATGTCTTCAGAGAAAAAACGGAAAGTTCAGTTGCCTCTTGAAAAAGTACCTTTGGGACTAGAACAGAATAGAATAACAGAGTTGGAAGGGACCTTGGAGGTCTTCTAGTCCAACTCCCTGCCTAGTCCCTACACCACTTCCGACAAATGGTTATCCAACATCTCTTTAAAAACTTCCAGTGTTGATGGCACTACTAGATTGCACGTTTATTCTGTGGTCCCCACCTGTGGGAAAAGAAGGCTGGTTTGTACTGAGTTACCTGTGCAACTCAGTACAAACTGAAATAACTGGAAAGCAGGCTATTGGAAAGCAAGCTACTGAACTCGGGAGACCCACACTTCACAAAAAGTTGGTTCTTCACTTCTAAACAATGCATGTATTTATTTACACACATTTTCACAGAACACAATCCCAGTTTGGGGAAAGGAGGATGCCTAGATTTAGAGTTGTATAACATCACAATTGAAAAGAAAGAAATGGCCACAAAGTGTGTGATTTGTAGTACAGGTAGTCCTCAACTTACAACCACAATTGAGCCCAAAATTTATATTGCTGAGTGAGACATTTGTTAAATGAGTTTTGCCCCATTTTATGACTTTCTTGTCACATTTGTTAACTGAATCACTGCAGTTGATAAGTTAGTAACCCATTTGTTAAGTGAATCTGGCTTCCCCTTTGGCTTGTCAGAAGGTTGCAAAAAGCGATCACATGACCCTGGGACACTGCAACTGTCATGAATGTGAGTCAGTTGTCAAGCATCCGAATATAAATCACTTGACCATGGGGATGCTGCAATGGTCATAAGTGTGAAAAATGGTCATAAGCAGGCATGATATTCCCCTCTGAAAAAAAAATCGGGGCCGGCCAAAAGAGACCCCCCCCACCGCGCGCCAAGAAATCGCTGGCCAGCTCCCTTTTCCTGCCGCTCAGCGGCCTCCGCTCGCGCCGCCCGCCCGCCCGGGCTCCACTCAGGTATCCGGCTGGGGCTGTCAGGAGTTGCTACCGCCGGCGCGGCTCCGCGCAGCTCCAGTCCCACGTTGCCTCGGGAAGGGAAAGGCAAAACCAGGAGCCGCTGCTGCCGTTGCAAAGCGCCGCCGCGGCTCTTCCTTTTTGCCTTTCCCTTCCTGAGGCAACGCGGGACTGGAGCCACGCAGAGCCGCGCTAGCGGTAGCAACTCCTGACTCGGGGCCTCCGAGGGGAGGGGAAGGAGGAGGGGAAGGAGGGGGGAAAGGGGGGGGCGATTCCCCAAAAAATCGGAATTCCGATTTTAATCGGAAGAATATCATGTCTGTCATAAGTCACCTTTTTCAGTGGCTTTGAACAGTCACTAAATGAAAAGTTGTAAGTTGAGGACTACCTGTACTGAGTTGCAATTAAATCAAGGAGCTCTAAATGTCTTGGGATCCGTAAATTTTATTGCCAGCCCAGCCCAGTTGTTCAGATATTTAGAACATTTAGAAACAGCAATCTTCCTCCCTGAGCCCGGAAAATGTTCCCAGTAGATTGTTCCCCGCATGGGCCAAAGCAATGCGGTGCCCCCCTCTGCCATGCTCACAGACACTTATAATGGAACTAGATTGGCGCAGCCCACTCCTTATAATATCTGATCTGAATCCTTGGTCAACGCTCTCTGCTTGAAAAAGGAGTGATCCGGTACCTCCATTTAAAACAAAACAAAAAAAAATAAAAACCCAGCCCTCTCTCAGCTATCATAGTAAGTTTTTCTAAGCAATGTACAACTTTAAAACAGCTTTTATTCAGCTTAAAAATAGAAACGTACCAATATATTAAAACACAGAAACCACATAAATCAGTGGTCATGAGCAGTGGAGCAATATCATGAAATGCAAATGTTAAAATGAGTCAGCCTGCTTTCAGAGTAGGTCCAGACTATAATTAGGACTAGGGATGGGCCACAACCCTGGCACATTGAGACTGCTTTTTGCTTCAATCCTTGGCATCTCCCATTGAAGACTTTCTTAAACTGGAGCTGGAGGAAAGGCCTATGGCTCTGAAAGGATAGCCCCTCTCCAGCCTTTTATCTGCTCCAAAGCCGAGAACTGCGTCCAAATTGAAAAGTAACCAAAAAAGTGATTTGAGACTTCTGTGTGTACGTAAAACCTTCATATGCACACAGATGCTGATTCCTGGTTTCAGCTCAAAAGAGGACAACGCCGCAGCCACCAACAAAAGGCAGGCCTGCTCTGGGTCAGCAAGATGCGATCTTGCCTCTCTTTGGAAAAATTCAGGAGCCATCCAGGACTTTGACTTTCCATTCGCCTCCTCTCCAGCCCAGCCCAGCCCAGCCTTGCTCGGAGGAACAAAGCTCTCCTCTGTTCCTGCCCCACACCGAAAGCAGCCCTGCCACCCAAGCACCGCAATGTACACGCCTGCTCCCACTTCTCCCTGGTCTACCTTAAATTCCCTTCCCCACCCCTTCCGCCCCAGCTAGCTGGCTCACCTGCTTCCCTCCCCCACATCCTATTGGCACTGGATCCCTGCCAGGCCCAGCAGGCCCCAAAGCCACCCGCTGGCTCTGCTTCAAAGCCTAGGATGCGAACCGCAGCCCTGCCTCACCAAAGCCTGGGGCTGTATGAGCCATTCAGCAGGGGCTTTTCGCCAGTTCTGAGCTTTGAGCTTTAGTGCGGGCAGCCTTCAGGCAGGCACATGAAAAAGGCAAACAAAGGGGCAGTGGGCACTGCCAGGCTCAGCCTCTCCCTGAAACAGGAATTTGGGAACTAAGTCCCTCAGAAGACCTAACCTGTCCTTTAACATCTGATAGTTAGAGGTGAGCAAAGGACACAGGCAGACACTTGAAAGCACTCTGCTTCCTTATCACTCTTAAGATCTAAGGCTGAGTCGTAGCATGTTCTTACAATTAACATATCCATGGGGAAAGCAATACCATCATCAGGGCACTCTGTTTATGGCCAAAGACTTCAATGAAGCAGGACAGGCATACTCCAAGTGCATTAAGAGTGCCTGCCTACTGGTAATCCTCGACCTATTACCACAACTGAGCCCACAGTTTCATTTGTTAAGTGAGTTTAACAACCATTCCTGCCACAGTTGCTAAGTGAATCAGTGCAGTTGTTAAATTAGTGACCCAGTTGTTCAGTGAATCTGGCTTCCCCATTGACTTTGCTTGTCAAAAGGTTGCAAAAGGTGATCACACGACTTCGAGACACAGCAACAATCATTAAGCTGCCAAGCATCTGAATTTTGATCACAGGGATGTTGTAAAGGTCGTAACTGTGAAAAATGGTCATAGGTCACTTTTTCCAGTGCTGTTGTAATTTTGAATGGTCACTAAATGAACTGTTGTAAGTCAAAGACTGCCTATATTTAAGACAACTGGATGGTCTAAACAGGGAACTTCTTCCCTAAAGGACATACAATGACTCTTTTTCTTTTCCCCCTATTACTCAGACAGAGAAGTTTAACCCTGCCCTGATGAGGCAATGGGTGGGTTTGGGCAGTAAGGCCAAAGCATAGGAGCCTTCAGCCTTTTTGTCAAGAAATGCTGGCAGAGTGGGCCTCTCCTTAGCCAAGCTAAGCCAATAGTGACTTCTTGACTCTTTTTATTTCCTCCTTTCCTTCTTTGTAAATCCCACCCCACCCACTCCCATTTATAATTATATACAAGCCCTGGAAGACCAACTTCTTACATGTTTGCTGGAGTCAAGATTGCAATATCTTTCCCTCCTTCCTCACTCTATTCTCAGAAACTGACTGGCTATCAGGATTGATGCAATGCCAAAAAAATGTACCTTTGATGATTTTGCAACCTGTTCCTTTGGAAGGTGACATTTTTCAAGTTGGTATAAAAGCTGTGTGGTATCCAAAAATCATGTCTCCAAAATCCCTTGCAATGTTGCTCAGAATCCAGAGATTGGTCATTTAACATTTGGGGTAGCAAAATGGTCTCTGCTGCCCTTGATCTTTGTAACCATCTGGTTTCTTACATTGCACTAGGAAGTGGGTAACCTTTGGGACACAGAATGTCCCCAGCCACTATCTGTGGTCCCAAATTCCACGAGACCCTATGCAATGGTCAACCACCAAATCACAGGAGGGCAACATCTGCTTTGCAAAAACAGGAAATCATCAGAAAGGTGCATTAAGAATCCAATAAGCTCTTTGTTATTTTAATAAACCCAATCCCCAGAATTTAGGAAAATAAGGACTGAACATTGTAGCCCTAGACCTTCGGGTGACATTTGTACGTTACTGTCTTGCAAGTGCCAAGAGCAAAAGCAAAGGCCTTCAGCTACAGTCTTATCTGCAATCCATTTCTTGGCTTGTTTATATGCTGGCCTCTGTAATATACATGATGATTTAAAACAGGCCACTATACAAGTAGTCCTTGACTTACAAGCCCAAAATTTCTGTTCCTAAGCGAATTGTGCCACATTTTATGATCTTGGTCATAAGTCACTTTTTTCGGTGCTATTGTAACTTCGGTCACTAAATGAACTGTTGAGAGTTGAGGAATAGCTGTACTATTAGATTTGTAGCTCCTCTATTGTTCATGCAATTTAAGAAAACATAGAACAAGTTCCTAGAATTGATCTGAACATGTTCATCAGAACTTTATGATATCCACATTACATATAACTTTTAAGGCTTTGTATGCTGTTCTTCCAAAGTCTATTATTAAATTATATGATAGAAGAGGGAAATACTAAATATTTGAGCTGCATATACTTTAAAAATGATTCAGAGGAAGAGATTCACACCTCACATGAACACAGCACCTTTTTGCTACTCATTATACTTAAAGCGTATAATTTTCTTCAGGTTTTCTGAAAGATGCTGATGTTTTAAGGAGTCAAATCATTAAAGCAAGGTACATTTAATAAAACTCTCAAAGCAATGGCATTTTTTTTTCAGGCTCAGGCCTTGAAAAGAAATGTGTGAGCTTTAATGAACAGCAGAGAAGAGCTGCCCTTGCATAAGATCTGAAACATTTCTGCTAAATTATTTTTGAAGCATGCAATGCTAACCGTAACCCTAAATTTATAGTATGAAATCTAATTAACTAACTCTAATTAAGATACATTTAAATGAACTTCAATGCCATTTCTATCCTAGTCCTATTCTTGTTTTGGAGCGCAAGCACCAGCACACTTCTCCAACAGCAAGTTCCAGTTCAGCCCCCCCTCTCTCCCTTCACCTCCCTGCTATTGATGTACTTTTGGAGTACAACTTTGGACTAACTATTACTACCCATGTTCGCCCCACTGAAGCAATTGGGTCCATCCTCCCCACCCCAGAAGAAAAACCACTAGCAAGAGTCTTCTTTCCCTCAAAATCTGATACTCTGGAGTAAATGTTGCCTCTGAAGATAGAGTCTCCATTGATAATTCTTATGTGTAAGAGACAAAACCTCCTCCTGGATGAGATCAAATATCCATTTAGCCTAGTACTGCCCGGTTAGAATCTCTCCAAACTAGGCAGGAAAATTAAAACTGTCTTCTTCAAAAGCTTGGGGCCCTGGGTTTGGAAGGACACACTCAGGCCTTTGGAGTAGATCAGTATTCCTCATCCTTGGCAATTTTAAGAGGCATGGCCTACAAACTCCCAGAATTCCTGATGGCTAGGGAATTCTAGGCGTTGGAGTCCCTGTCTCTTAAAAGTTGCAAAACTGAGAAACACTGGAGTAGACTATGGGTCCCTTTGAATGTTGAGTGGGGGAGGACTTGCCACTATTTCTGTATAGTCCCTAGCACCTCTAGCACTGAAGAATCACAGTTGTGGACAACTCTGGCATGAAAATGGTTAACACCTGCCTCTTTTTGGAAGGAAGGAAAAGAGGAAGTCTGATGAGCAAAGTGCAGAGGCTGGAACACTCTCAGCAGCTGCCTTTGATCTCAGCGTCCTTGGAAAGCATGTGTGAGCAGGTATCCGCCAGAATTGCTCCAGCAGGCTGGCTTCGCGACTGCCAAGCCTGCCTTGAACAGAGAGGTCAGAGGTTAGCAGCACAACTTCTCAGCTGTAAGATCAAAGGCACTGCAGAATTCAGGCTCCAGGATTGCCCTGAGAGGTTGGGAACTGAGAGAGCTCAAGTTTTGCTGTAAAGGTACTTCTCAAACTGGGAGACTGGTTCCACTTACTTTAAACCTTTCCTGCAATTCAGCTGTGCTTTGCACGCACATTTGGGATGAATTCATTTCACCCTAAATGAATTTATCCTAATAGAATGTAAAAGACAAAATGATAAAAACCTTAATATTCAGCAGCGACCCTGTCTCTTAAAAATTATATTGATCCAATAAAGATGGGCTTCATAGCAGCACAGGTTCTACAAAGCTTTTCAAGATTCTTTGGTCCAAGATATGGATTCACTAAAGGAAATGCAGCTCTCAAAACAAGGAGCATTGCGCAAATTTGTGCAATTAGAATCCAAACATGGATTCTAAGGAATATAGCAGAAATTGTACATGAAATCATGATTAACAGGGATGGCTAGGTATCCCACCGTTGAAGTCAGGCAGCAGTTCTAAGCTGAGTTCAAGACACAGGCTAATTAATCAGTATTTCCTCCCCACTTTAGGAAATCCAGTATTCCCTTATATCATGCTGAGTATTTTATGGAAGCAACAACTGAGATAAAATCACATTTCCACAACCAAATTTAACAATGTTTTTTTTTCTGTTCAATTGTGTCCAGTTTTTGGAAACTGTCAGGAAAAGTCCCTGCAAACTGCAAGTTTGTGTTCGTGGCAAGGTTTTTCAGAAGTGGTTTTTCACCACCTCCTTTCTAAAGCTAAGAGAAAGAGACTAATCCAAGATCACCCAGCTGGCTTCGTGCCCAGGCAGGACTAGAACTCATAATCTCCTGGTTTCTAGTCTGATACTTTAACCTCTATACCAAACTGTCTCTCTTTACATTAAGTTAAAATATGGTAAATGCATTTCTGGCAGATGGATTGATAGGCAAGTAGGTGAAGAAAGCCAGCCAGACACATGGAAATCTGACATATGCACACATTTATTATGTATATGGAATCTTTAAATACCAGTTCCCAAAGGGTCTGCTCCCCTAGTGTCTTTGCTAATGGAAAGCAATACCAGCTCAATTGAAATGATCTGCAATGATAATTTCTGAAAAGTATTGTTCGTCCTTCATTTTTCTCAATGGAAAAGAGTGTAAGGAAGAAAAACTAGAGTGTATGAGAGACCGTAGCTCTGTCCATCTAGTTTGGGCCTTACCCTACTTTGAATATAAAGATATATACCCAGGAGCTTAATTTGCAATCTAATCAACCAAGGAGCTGATCAAAAAGTTTTCTGAAGGAGTTTATTAAGTCTATTCTCAGCACATATACCTTATTGGCCAATGACAGGCATGGCCGGAGATCCCGCTCAGGCCTTTCCAGTTTGACAATGGAGACAAATCCTGGAACTGTATGTTCATCCTCGCTGGTATTACACAAAGACAGGGGGTGGAACTGTGAAGAGAAAGGAAGGGAAAGTTACTACTGATATGTCATAGGACAATTATAGAATCATAGGGCCGGAAGACACGTCAGAGATCTTTTAGTACAATTTTCTGCTCAAAGCAGGGGCCTTATACATCCTAGTCAAATGACTGTCCAGTCTGTTCTTGAAAACCTCCAGTGATTGAGTACCCACAACCCTGGAGGCAAGCTATTCCATTGATTAATTGCTCTCACTGTCAGAAAATTCCCCCTTTCTTCTAGATTGAATCTCTTTGATAAGCTCTCACCTATTGCTTCTTGTCTTGCCCTCTGGTATCCTAGCGAATAAGTCAATCCTCTCTTCTTTGTGACAGCCCTCAAGTAATGGAAGATAGTTATCATGTCCCCACAATCCTTCTCTTCAATTGGTTAGTTATATCTAGCTCCCTCAGCTGTTTAGCCTCCAAATCCTTTATCATTTTTGTTGCTCTTCTCTACACACTTTCCAGTCTCAATATCATTTTTGTACTGGTATAATGATGGTGGTATAATGGTGGTATAATGATGCTGATAGAATATAATCTTGTAATACAGAAGATGGACTCTGCATTATTGAGGAAGGACTGTGGATCAACACAATGTGCAAGTAAGCTACAGGCCAAAGTGCTACAGTAAACTTTTATCAGTTTCAGACAAACATTTACACTTTTTCATTATCATTGAGTTTAGGCATGCTTCCATTTCTTAGACACAAACTTAAGAAAAATATTAAAATATCTTCTGGATTACCTAAATGGCTTATCTAACTCATAATCCATCATAATTCACAATCTATCCAAATGGTACCTTTCAGATAAGCTTGCATTACAACTCAGTTACCATATTTGTTGGGAATTCTGAGGATCTGTTGACTCAATAGATCCAATGAGCACAGATTACAAGGTGCTCTTTAGATTACAAGGTGCTCTGCAGTCAGATATTTGCTTAAGAGGTTAAAAAAAAAACTGTGCTCTACATATAGTTACCCTTGAAGATCTTTTAGTAGCTGCCACCAATACAAAAATGTTGCTGCATTATTTGTTAATATAGTAGAAGGTTTCCAGGAATGCTTGGGACTTTTCTTCTTTCATTGCACCACTAGTCAGTTTGCTTCTTAACCCAGTTAAAGATTATCTAGCAAAGTTCTGGCTAAAATTGGGTATGAATTAGTCAATTGCAAAGACACTGTCTCTAGACTATTTGTCGAGGTTTAAATCTTAGCTTTCATTTAGCAAGTTCCATTTTAAAGATACCCTCATAATTAGTCAAAGATTCTAAGGAAAACAAACAAGACTGAAAGAAGGAACCATTCCTGTTTAGAATAGAAAGCTGGCAGCAAGGAAAGGATTATTCTTGCAAGATTACAGTTGCTCCATAAACACAGAGAGGTGTTTCCTTTGAATTCAAAATGCCCTCAAGCTTTGTTCATGCGATCTTGAATCACAAAAACATTTATAAATACAACATACATGCATATAAGTGTAAGAAGAATAATTTACTTTCATTCACAAGAATTTCCTTTTGGAATTTTAATGGAAAATTATTCCATAAAAAATCTAGAGAGCCTTGCTAAATCAATACAATGTTCACCAGCATTCCAAGTCATTCAGTAGCTGGTCAGATTGATTTAGGAAACATACAGTCTAAGGATACACCCCTTTTCCACCTTTTTGGTCCTGTTTTCAGTTCTACAATGCTTTTTGAAGTATGGTAGCTATTTCACTTGTACTGTATTGTTATGAACTGGCAAGTTTCTCCACAAAGCCAGAGCTGTTACCATTGTAGACATCAAATGGAGGAATTGCTTAGAATCTGGCCAGAGAGAGAAAGAGTGTATGTGTTTTGGGGAAGTTGCTCCATCTCCAATACCATTTGGTTGCTTCCAAAGGTATGGGCTACTTAAACATAGCCGTGTCTAATGGCTGGGATGGGGATAGGGATAGAATATTTCAATTACAAAACTGAGCTTAAAAAAATAAAAATAAAGGGAGCAGTTGATCAGTCAACTTCAAGTGAAGTTAAATTACTTTAAGAAAACCTTTGCAACTGGATGATAAAAGGCAATTAAACTAACAAAAATGACCTACTGGAGTCTGGAGGGGGTTGTTTTGTCAACTGGCGTCAACACTTATTCAGCTGGTCAGGGGAAGAGTTTATGGCTAATGTAATGCCTGTTCTTCTGAAGAAAGAATGGCCATCTGCGCTGTTGCATCTGTTGTCTGATAGACCAAAGGTGAGCTCACACCTGCTGCCAGCTTTGGCAAAAGATCAAGGGAGAATTTCATTGAAAGTCTGATAGCATCCCCCCCCCCCCCCCCCCCAATATACACTGGTTAAAAGAAAGCTGGCACGCCTGTTTTACATAGCAGCTTCTCTGTGTGGGGCCAACAGTATGTCTGATGGATCAAAGCAAGGAGTGCTGCATCTCAAAGATATGGTTCTTCACCTGCTAGCCATCATGGCATGGTTCACTAGTCTTAATAAACCGAAAATTGCAATCTCTTTGCTGCTGCACTTCCAGAAATCTTCATCACTGCACATGTAATTCTATTCAAATTTTTAGAGAGATTGTGGCTAGAGTTGAGGGATCTGTGGTCCTGCAGATGCTGTTGAATTACAACTAGAATTCTTCAGCATGGGCCACGCAGGCTAGGCTACTAGTAATTCAGAAAAATCTGGAAGGCTATAGATTCTTTATCTTTTGTTGCAGTTATTTTAATGTACAACACACATGAGGACATTAACTCTCAGAATGCTGAGGGAAATGCCTCTTCTCTCTCAGCACTGATGTCACACACTATAGATAAAATTAGATTCTGGATTTAATAATCTGATTTAACTAAGCAGACCCTAGATTACTAATCCAGAATCCTGCCCTAATTGCACACCCATTGCTGATGTACAAGATCATTATCAGAGGCTAGGGAACTATATGCCACAGAGACTGCCGTTTTTGTGCTCTCACTGTTGCCAAGGTGTATTTTGAACTCCTAATAACCTACTGTGGGACAATGAGACTTTGTAGCCTATATTTAATGAGAAAAACAAACACCCTCCTGACTTCTACATTACTGGAAGACAGGGTAGAAGGTTGGGGTTTTTTTTTGTGTTTTTTGTTTAATAAATGACTGCAATAGAAAGCAATAAGAAGACAGGAAAGCAGAAATACCCTGGAAAAGCATGTGTGATTTCCCCATAACTCGAGACACCTAAGGGGGCTGCCAACGACAATCACTCAGACTGGAAGAGAACTTATCTGGTAGAGAGGTGGAAGAGCTGCAAATAGCTGGTAAAGGAAGGTTGGGCAGCTTTCCCCAGCTCAGTGCTAGCACTGTATATTGCAACCTTGCCCTTGACTTCACTGGTGAAATACAGTATGGGCGATCTATCATATACTGAAGACTTCCCCATCCTAATTTCCAGATGTTTTAAGATCGAGACTTTCAGAATTTCCAGCAAGATGCTATCCCAATTCATCCAACATGCTTAGCCTGGATGCGGAATAAAATCCATTTTCTGTGCTTCCCCAGTACAACGCACTACAAACTGAGCAAACACGTTCGGGGCTCCCACAACACACCAAAGCTGGGTGCAGCATAACCAGGATTAGCGAGCTGCGGAAACACAGGCGGGTGCGTTTAAGCATGTCGTGTGAACACAACCATCGAGGGGGCGCTAGGCGGGAGAAGCCCGCTCCACCCCGCTGGTTTTGAAAGCCAGAGGCTCAACCGAGCCGTCCGGGCCGGCCGAACCGAGGGCTGGAGAAAGCGGCCACGAAAGACGCGCTCCCGCCAGCGGCGGCCCTCTTCGATTTCGACCACGTGCGGAGCAAAGGAAACCTCCTCAGTTCGCTCCAGCGCGGTAGGTTTGAAGGTCAGCCCTTCGCAGCGAGGCCCTTTGTCTGGGCTGGCCAGGCCTGCCCGTGTCCCTTGCGGCTTGCCTGCAGGCCCTCGTCTCCAACTCTCCCCACAGCCAGCGGGAGCGGCCAACAGGGCCTGTGAGGGCTGCCTGTGGCGCGGCGAGATGAAAGGCGGGCCGCTAATGTAAGAGCCGGTGGCCTCCCCAGTGCCGTTTGAACTGTTTACAGATCGAGTTAACTATTACAGGCCGTGTGTATCTTGGCCGCCTGCCCGAATTCTTCCGCGCCCGTCAGATATTATTAAACAACCCTTTCGATGCTCGCCTGGAGTTCTTCCAACACACCTCAGAGAGTTGCCGACACTCCAGGCGGAGCCTTTGGTTGGCACTCTTGTTCCCGAGGCCCAAAGAAGAATCACGGTCTCGGCCCCGGGGAGGGGGATTTGGCTGGCTCGCGGCGGCGAGTCAAAGGGAGAAGAAAACAGGGAGAGTCAGTCTTGGTAGACACGGAAAAAGCCCCAGGGTGGGCATAGAGCCTAAGAGCACCCCCTCATCTCAGTTCCCTGGGCAGGGCAAGGCAAATGCAATCTTAAACTGCCGGACCCGCATCTGCAGGCGACTGTAGAGTTGAATGAGTGTCTCTGGGCGGTTTATTGTGACCCGGCTATTTCCTGGGGGGGCAACAGAAAAAACTCCTATGGAAGCCAGGTTGAGGAAAGCCAGCACGTTAATGCAAATCCCCCTCAGCATTTCGGGATTATTGCCACCCCCTAGTTATCTGGTGGTGCTTTTCATAAGAATATCTTCCAAGCTGTGCGTTTTATTAAATAGGGCAACTTATAACAATTATGGCTCACGGTTGAGAGCCTCTTTTTTTTTTTCTATTTAGGTGACCTGTGGCACAAGTACTGACTAAATGGCAATTTATCAGTGGCCATAATTGTGAAATAAATCAACTGGTTGGACGGAGAGAATTCACTCAGTCATAAACAGTGGTTTTTAAGCCACCAGAGATGGATTCGGGAAAACCAATTCAACCACTCTGTGGCTCACCCTGTCAAATGCAACTGATAGTTCTTTTGCCCCTGCATTGACCCAAATTAGCTTAATAAAAAATCTAGTTCAACTATTAA